GATGTTGCAGAGGAGCTTGGTATACACTTAGCGACGGTGGTAACGCAGCAACAACACGACCAACATTTACCCATGGTACGCCCACACGCTCTTGACATAAGCATAAACATATTGCTACCATCCGGCTCGACAGCAAATCCAAAAAACAAACGATATGTGTTTCTTGCTGACAAGCAAGGTGTTGAATACGCTGTAACGCCGATCCATAGCCAAGATGAATTCATCAAGTTCAACAACATCATACCGAAGGGAAGTATCAATTCATCACAATGGGTAGACCTGGCTAAAAAGTGGAATACATGCACCTTGAAGGAAATCGATGGATCAACGATATTCTATAAAACACCAGACCATCTACAGTTACATTTTGAGCGCTGGAACGAAAGGAGAATGACAAGTGCAAGTACTGCACTCAGTAATGGTGTTTGCGATACAATGAGAGAAGATCTTCAATCACCGAGTAGAGGGCAATCTATGCTACCTGCCAATACCCCTTACCCCTTCACGTCCACCATTTGCGATTACACCTCCCTTAACAGCACCGCAACACCAGCCGTCATTCCCAGCATCGGCAACTGCTCAAACAACAGCAACGGTATCAACATCTGCAACGACGATACAAACCCATTAACCCTCCGCAGAAAGAAGAATAGCGCCTGCGCTAGCGTCGTCAAGTATACCATCAGAACCCTTGTTCCGTGTCAATGTTAATATCCCAAAAATAAAAAAAAAAGAGCACGACGCAAAACCATTGCAAGGCATACTCCACAAAACCGTGTACATGATCCCTAGCTACATAAACAGTAACTATTACCGTGACTACTGTATACCTAGTAATACTACAGATAGCATTGTAACTTCACAATAAACCTTTGCTATCTTAATCATCACAAGAACGCGGCTTTATAAAAGCGCCATGCCTCGACCTCAGAAAACAAAATAAAAAATTAGTATTCTTCCACGGAATATTACTAGGGCCTGAAATTACAGCCACCACCATAATTTTTTTTAGCTTCAGCCAGCCTTTGCCCCTTAAAGCAAATAGTTCGATGTAGTATAAGCTTATCATACCACTTTTACTTTTTTATCTTTTTGACGTAAAAGCTAGACAGGCATGTATGAGGCATCAGCGATAACCGATATTATAACACACATTTCAGTGAATTAGCTCGTTAAACGACATCTGATGATGTATTATCTAGATCAATGCGATCAATGGAACTCCTTCGTTAAATTATCGCACAAGGAACGTCCACAATAATCAAATTTTAATGACATACTACTCTGGAGGTGTTAGTACAGCACTGTCACTCTTATAGAATACATAGAGGTTATTCACACGCACAAGTTAATATGTATGTAAATCAATAAATACATTTAATGGTGCCAACTCGATTCAATACCTTCTAAAACCCCATTTTCAGTCATTATCATGGTACAGGATACGTTCACAGAGGCTCTCGTACTGTGGATAATTCCGTCAGACGAATTAATCTATACAACAACGAGATGCTGTTTTCGAGCTTGTTCAGTATCAGTGCATAAAGCCCGCATCTGTTGTCCGACCTACTTACACCCGCAGCTCACTAAAAGATATAATCCTCTCTATATCTTCATTGAATTGTTTCTTGCCTCACTACAAACTCAAAAATAAAAAACAGGCAGTATGAGAGCAATATTGCTGATTCATTCATCCAAATCTCATACTTTTTGTCTTGGCTCGACACAGGTCCCACCTACTATTATTTAGAGCTCGTAACACTTGTAGTTACAAAAAAATGATATGAGAGGCGAAAACAAACTGATCATTTACCATTACCGTAATCACGAGTCTCACTCTTATTTCCATATGATAGTAATAATAATGATGCCAATCTCAGGACAGCAGCAGATATTTGATATAATAAAACTCGGTTGAGTGACGTCATAGCCACTAAAGGAGCTGTCATTCATATGCTGTTACAGACAATATCTAGTAGTTATTTCCATATGCTGAGAGTCGAAAATAAAGATACATATATAAAAGGGAGAAAATGACTTATCAAACTGATCAACGTATTACGCGGTGTAGGTATATTACTTTGTCATACTTGGCCAGTACTCTCAACTCTGTCTCTTTGGGTGGTGATTATTGTACGGCAGCGCTGTCTGTGAACGAGCGTTTGTCAATACTGTTGTGAGAACGTATTATACATCATAAACAGCACGACAAATATGTCGGCCAAGCTTTGACTGCGAGAACATCCCAGTGGGCGCGCGCATTATATTTTCTAATGGGTATTTGCATAGTATTGGTAGGTGAAAATAGTGTGAGATTAGCATATTAAACTTATAATACATAGTGAACTGATTTGGATGTCACTTACAGAAATATATCCATATGCATCTACTGCGCATAAGCATCACGTTGATCAAGAGTATATAAAGAGTAGACTATACTCTATCCTTAAAAGCTATTAAATGGATATATACATTTATATGAGCTTGTAAGACTTTGTTGTAAAGAGATAAAGAGAGAGGGAGGGAGATTAAGGAAAGGCTGTTGATCGATGTGATCAGTGAACCGATGATACGAATCAAAAGATAAAGAAAACCGGTAGCTAATATACATACATATATTGAGAGCCTAGAGAGGTATATAATCTACTTGCGGTTTCTTGTTCTTCCTTTGGGTAATCCACACAAAATAGTGCCTGCTCGCTAAGCCGATCACCTCAGTCATGTCCCAAACGTGATCGGCTTAGCGAATGATCACCCTACCGAATTCGATGCCCGATATAATGAGTGGGGTTTTCGTCTGTTACACTATATACACAGTAAATAGATGCTTGCTGTCTTAAAGCTTGATTACTTTACTACCTTCTCACTTCTCACTATGAAGCAAACTCATACTCTTTCCCTCCGTCAAAAGCTTGCTATTATCCAGCACAAGGAAAAGGATACAAAAATCAGTCAACGCCGCCTTGCACAGTGGAAACGGAGGAATTCAAGTTGGATTATACATCAGGCCAATCAACCATAGGCCAATCAACCATTTCTAACAATTTGAGGAACAAAGGAGCGAGTTTTGGGGATGGCCGAGGCTAGCGTAAAACTCGCCTGCTCCACCACAATTGAAAGAAGAACTAGAAGTTTGTGGCCAGTATGGCTTCTGTCATTCAGCCATTCAACCGTACTTCCATCGTTTTGCAAAGCCAAAATTCAGGCAAGACGCTTGGGGTATCGATGATTTCCAGTTCTCGGATGGATGGATGACTAGGTTCATGAAACGTCACAACCTAAAGACATATAGCATCCATGGCGAATCTGGTGCTATTGGCGTCGATGAGCGCGCCGTCCAACAAGCTGTCGATGTTGTAAAAGCTAAGGTTGCCAATTTTCCACCGGAACGCATCTACAACATTGATGAGACTGGATTGTTTTATAAGCAAGTACACGTCGCACAATTTCTGATGCTCCAGTTGGTGGTCTGAAGGTAGACAAAAGTCCAGTGACCGTTGTCCTTGCATGTAATGGTGATGGTACCCATAACCTCGGACCATACTTCATTGGCCGTCATCCTGGAGGAAGAGACTCTGGTGCAAAAAAAGTATGCTTAACGTTGAAACAAAAACCAATGTTTACATATCGAGTGCTTATATTCTGCATCTTTATTATCTTATGTAGTTGCTGACATTTACAAGTATTATTATATACAAAGGCATAGATGACAAAGGACATCTGGTGCTACGTAAATTAGATTCAGCTGTCTTCGCTGCTCATAAAAGCAAAAAGGCACTGCTTTTGCTCGATTATGCACCGTCGCATGTCAACCTTGATATTGAGTTGAGTAACATCGAGCTTTGTTTGTTACCACCAAACACAACTGCCCATTACCAGCCTTTGGATGCAGGCATTATCGCATCATTCAAAAAGAACTATAAGTAAGAACACAAATTTTCAGATACTGATATCAGTATTTGCAATTTTAAATAAATGGGAAAAGTACTGATCAAATCAATATCATTAGGAGTTGCTTGTATCGCCAAGCTATGATCCGATACAGTACTGGCGAATTGAACGATCTTTATAAAGTATCGTTTAAGCAAGCTTTGGACTGGTCAATTATTGCCTGGGAGCAGGTTTAAGAAGTAACCATTGCAAACTGCTTCCGACGCACTGGACTTCTGACTTTGGAGACCTGTGGGAGGAAACTACCCAGCCTGGTGTTGATTGGGAAGTTGATACTGAATTGAATCAGCTTCTCGGTACACTCACGAGCCAAAATGATGATACCTCCACAATCGCGATTATTCCCGATGATGAGGACGAGGATATCCACGAGGTTCAAAGTTTAGAGCAACGTGTTGATGGCCTTTTAAAGCATCACAGCGAAAGACCAGGTAAAACTTTATTACATGATATGTGTAAGAAAAAATGTATTTTGTATATCAATACAAGAATATGTTTAGTAGATGAGAATGATGAGCTTGAAGAAGCACCCTCTGCCGTGCCGGTCCTTTCTACAAAGAGCGAAAACGCCATTTTCAGCAATTTGCTGACAATCTTTGTATTACAGAAAAGCTAGATATGGATATTTTGTACCTCGTTAAAAAGAGAATTAGACAGTTGGAGTCTGAGGAAAAGCAAACACAGTTATTGACGCGGTCCCGTCTAACTGATTTCATAATTAGATTACTAACAGTCATTTCATTGGATAGTTGACATAGCTGGTGGTGGGTCACTAGCGTTTCGACTCGGTGATTGTAGAATTTCAGTCATCGTGTTGACTACTGTGCTGTTTTGCATTTTAGTATCGCTGGCTGACTGGGCTGCTTTTCATACGTTGTAGTGGGTTTTGAGGCTTTCCGGTGTTTGTAAAATATATTTTCACCATTTGTATTGTTGCTTTGATTCCATAACTGGCTATAACGCATCCAATCGGACGGTTTTGGCTCAGCACCATTCAACGATTGCATAAATCTCTGAAACAATGTGAACTCCTCGGGTGTGCATAGGAGTTACAGCATACTTGTGCCGAGCTGTGAAGCAATAAAAGTATACAAGTCGTCCTTTTCTTTACTTGTAGACCCATCAGGGTACATCAGCTGCGTGCTATGTTTTTGAGGCAACAATGGATCTTTTCGGGCAGCTATATTACTAATTGCAACTGCTTCGTGGTCAACTTTTTCAATGTTTAATTTACTGGCAACGTCGCTTGGTAACTCGGCAATACCGAAAATTCTGTCCGACATGCGCATGTACAAAGCATCTTTAACAACAATCGCATCTGCTGCCCCGGCCTTATCAGCAATGTTGAGCTCTGATTGTATAAGTATTATTATGTTAGCAGGAGAAAATATGTAATAATGATAATCTTGTTTTCGAAAAAGAAAAGGCTGAAATGTTTGCATGTTTGCTGTACATAGGTTTGATGGAAGAATAATGAGTTAGATGAAATGTGTGTTTGGAAGGTTTATCAGTAAATGAAAAAAGCTGCTGTTGTCTGTGTAGTAATTTGTGTAGTAATAAAGAAGGAGAATTTCCGATAATTTTTCACTGATCGACTTGATCATTGTTTCGTTTACGAGATTTTGGGGTTGCTACCATGACTGGAGGGATATTGGAGGTGTTGGTGCCGGCATCTGTGAAGTTAACGATACCACGAAGAGCATCTTTGTTTGGCTTTTGATCAACACTTGCGACCATGTTGAGCAGATGATTCTATGTGTCACAGATAAAAATTGACTATCACTGGTACTGGTGTTCACCTGATATAGTTCCCGAATATCATGCAATAATTTATTACCTTCCATATGAACATAAACTTTAATGTTTCCTTGAATGATTGCAGTTGGGTTATACGCTTTGGTATCATCAATTCTGTGTGCTTCTTTGTAAGAAAGACACCATTGGTAAATGATAAGGTATACGCGTAGCCGCTGGTCCCTCTTGAATTTAAGATAATATTTTAAGTATCTATTATAAAGTGTATTAAATATAGATGAAACGTTTTTACTAACCTTTCCAATCCATGGCAATAATCGATTCGGAGTAGCCCATCCGCAGGAGTCTTGACAAGATTGTAGCATTGGTTCGAATGTTTTTTGCCTGTTGTTTGAGAACAATCGAATTGCAAGCTTTATCTTTTTTCCACTCGTTGCTACTAAGGTCATGTAATTTCCCATCAAAACATCCTGTGGCTATAAGATCGACTTTACTACCATATGGTGCTTCATTCGACGAGGAGACAAATCCAGCGATGGTTTGTAACACAATGATTTCATCTTTTGTTATTTGAGCCACGCATTCACCACTATGAAATTCATTAGGGTAATATGGAAGATAGGTCCCATATTTTTAATTTATCCATCTCATGCAATTTTTTTTATTAATCCATACTTTTTAAATATGTTTTCTATTTCTAATAATATTGTCTTTACATATATACTTTTATTACAGTTATTAATATTATTTATTTTAATAAAAAGTTTTATATATTTATATGAATTATTACATAATTCATCATTTTTATAATTATTTGAGACATCATTTTTATAATTATTTTGGACATTATTTTTATTAAATTTTGGATCAACCTTTATATTTTCATCTGTATTAACAATATTATTAACATTAGTATTAATATTAGTAACAATGTTTTGTTCTTTTTCATTTTTATTTAAATTTATTTGTTCAAATATATTACAAGGAGAATTCATATTATCTTTAATATTAGATTCAGATGAATTATTATATATTTTCTCTTTTTTATTTTGATTATTATTAATTTCATTATAAATTACTTTTCTTTTTTTATATTATTTTTTTCTTTTTGTTTTTTTCTTCTTTTTATTTTATAGTTAATATAATAATCTTCTTTTCCTTTTATTATCTAAATTTTAAAAGATTTTGTTATTTCATCAAATTCTATATTAAACTTTTTTATATTATGAGTCTCTATTTGTTTCATTATAAACATTCGTTTTATATTCTTTAAAAATGAATCTTCATGAATTATATCTTCTAAATTATCTTTATTATTATTATCCATTATGATTATTTTTCATTTTAACAAAATTCAATTTTTATCCATTTCATATATCTTATAATTTCAAAATATGAGACTTATAATGGATGTACTCCATTCATCATAAGAAAAGGTCAACAACCTGTTTCCAAATCATATTTTGTTTCTCATATTATCTTTCCTATACTTACTCCCTCATTTTTATCTTGGTGTATCTGAACAAAATGTCAAGCAAAACAGCAAATCTTCTGAATACCGTGTTTTCTGATTCGTCAGTCTGTTCACTCCAGTCATCGAATTGTGAGATACTATATATAGATGTATGAATTTGAAAACGCTTTGTTTGTTATTTCATATCCTTTTACCACTCATGTTTAATACTTACACTTGCTGAAGGATACAAAGCATTCTATATAAATCCGAATTCTTGTGCCAGCAATACTTTGCTTGAAGCTTGTAGATGTTCTCAATGATGCTGTCTGGTTCGAAGATTGTTCTATATCCCAACAAATTATCCAGCGTTAGTAATTGCAGTGTGTTATGGTTTTTATCACTTTTTGTTTTTTACCTTTCTGATATTAATTGATCAAATACTCTTATGCATTCATCAGAGAAGCCGAATGTTTCAGACACAGAGAGTTCGATCAAGGATGTCATTTGCGAGGATGTCAAGATCGTTTTGGTAAATGCGATTGATTCTGGAGAGATAAGGCTTACAATACTTGACAAACACAACCTATTTTGAGTATAATGATAAGTTAGTTAGATTCATCCATATTTATTTACAGCAATGATTGAACAGTACTTTATGTTGATTTCCATTTGGTTCGTCCATCCATCTTCATTCAGCAAACTTTCTGCTGCTGACGCCAGCAACCGATCCTGAATTGAAACTCTTTGTTCCATCATTTTTCGAAGAAAAGTCCCTTGTGCATCGTTCATAAGCTCTCCATTTACCTGTCTAAAAAGAATACCACATATCGTGAGAACTTGTATACAAGTATAAATGTTATTCAAATAAGTGTTATTACTGTAAATATTAATTTTCTTACATAACAGATAAAAAATTTCATCAATTTCTGAACGTCGTCCAAATCATCATACACCGTATCTTCATCGACGTTGACTACTTGCTCTATGCCTACATCAATGTTGTCATTTTGTTCGTATTGGGTTCCGACGTCTGATCGTGTGCCATCAGCACTTCGTAGTCGTTCCGCAGCCGTTACAGCAGCTTGACCAAGAGTTCTCAAAGCATAAATGCGATACGTTTGGCAGTTTTCCCGCTGTACAAGAGCAAGAAAAAGAATGTTAGTAACTAGCAAGGAGACTATTATGTAACTGATAAACAAATAATACCAGTTCTTTCAATTCAATAAAGTTCTTATCCCAGGCTGCTGGATCGTATTTCGTTTTTCTAGTTTCATTAAAAAAAAGACATCAGTGTTTTTGAATGAAGTAATGTGTGTCGTTTAATTTAAATAATAAATACTTGAGTGCCAATTCGGGTTGCAGTTCTTGTAAAGCTTCATTAAATCGATTCATCCAGCAGGTAAAGTAACCTTGAGCACTTGAAATGCCTGTCTTCAGAGAGAAATCGGCAAGTTGAGCGCTGTATTTTGTTATAAACCCTTCCATTGTAGGTTTAGGTGAATTTAAAACGAATCGCGTAATTCTGTAGAAAAAATCAAAGATAAATAATCTTTTAAACCACATAATTAAACCCTCATCTTACCTTTGCACCCTAGAAACGTTGTCATGGTGAAAATAAAAGTTCGCAAAAGCAGAAACGAAGAAAGAGTAACCTAGCTACAGGTTTTGATTTTGTCTGCTTTATTGAAATAAAAATTTCATTCAATGGGCCGCTGTTTATCAGTTTTGCTACAACTTGCAAAATAAAAACTTTACTAGCCTTTTATTTCACTTAATAAATATAACTATATATTCAAGATTTGGGTTTAGCTATATGAGGGACTATCCAATTTCCATGAGTTACTTTTTTGACTGTCGTCGTGCTTTAGGGAGCAGGGGTGGGGGGGGTCAATAAGCACTTTCATGCAGGATTATAAGTTTCGTAGAAACAAAACAATACGTCATTTATGCTCGTCATAGCCTGGACCGTCGGGTCCCATCCACATAAACTGATTAATCTTCAAGCTGATAATTAGTTGTTTTGATCATGTTCCTCCCTCTGGAAATTATCGCTTTTGGCCTGTGTGGCAAAAGCAACCCCAAGCTGATTACTTTGACTCAAATTCCTTTGAACGCGTCAGTTATGTACTCGCATTTTTTAAACCACTAAGTTGGAGCAAAAATCGACGAGGTTACTGATATTGTACAGTCTTCTGATGACCTTGATGGTCAGCTATATCGATGTTCTTTTTTTAACAAAAAGGCACTAAGTGCAGCATTAAGACGTGATCGCAGATCATTCAATTCTGTACCGTTCAAGGGATTGGCGCGATAGCCAAATGATGCTATCATAACATCATTATAAAGAAGTTTTGACTTACCAAAAAAGCTAACATTCCAAAGTCTCGGAAGCAGGTGGGATGCCGTAGATACGAACATTAGTAAAAACATTATTCTATTGGCTTTCTACAATTCAAACTCTATCTTGTCCTGGAATGAAGCGACAAAGAGTCTACTACCCAATAGAAGGCTACTCTATCATAGCACATAATCAGCGATAGCTGATCATAGCTGTCGTCGGCGTCAAACCCCTTATATAAATAGCTCAAGGCTCTTCTTTTTTGCAGAACAAAAAATAGTATAACTTTGAGTGAGAATCGTTATCTCGATGTGAAAGCATCCTAATGCTAGTTTGTCAAGGCACTGAATAGACCAGACGTAGTCAAGTACATATACCGAGGTACTTTGCCTCTTAATATTTTGCTAAATACATATTAGTTACTATACGTGCCAATTATTACATTATTACGAGTCGGTTGGACAATATCAATGTAGATGATCTGCTGGATAACCTTATGGCGGGTATGATACAGTTATACATGCCACATGGATCAATGTTCGGATGCATCATAATATGATATAACTTGTTGATAAATCCTCGATAATGAGAATACATTACTGTACATAATAAGTATTTGTGCTGTTTATACGGCTATGTTTATACCTCTTTTCTAACCTAGATATAAGGATATGGTGTATTCCATGTATAACCACCAAAATTTTCCCCAAAATTGAAAGCTATCAGCACCCCCAAAAACAAGTTTACCACAAAAGCAACCAAGGGTACTCTCAAGCAACGTGAGTCAACGTCGACACACCCTAGAAATAGTAATAGCGCGTTGTTCGGGAGTCGAATAAAAGTGATACAATGAACACAGGATTTTTTTGTGTAATTTATATCATATCCTTGATAAGGAAATGAAGAGCAAAACTGCCGTGTCGACCCCTTGGTTGACACAGCACTCCCAAAAAGGATATCGTCTCGGATCTTTTGTTACACGTCCATGCAACTGAGAAAATATTACTTTGATATTTAATTATCTATCAAGCAATACCCGGGAGGGTCAAGTATACCATTTTACATAACATTAGATATACCAACTTGTTGTTTAGACGGAACCGATTCCATAGCTCTACATATCATGAAATGATAAGAACATTACCGATAAGAAAATATCTTCTATATATGCAGCGACTTTGAGTAATACTTCTTGTTTTGTTCCACTCAACTTTTATTCGCACTTTTTATATCCTTCATCCTACCTTGTCTATTATTATGGATTCCCAGCAAGAAATTGTCCACAGAAGAAAGATCATCAGCATCCTACTTCTTTTGATTGAAGGCTACGTCTTTTTTTTTCTTGCGAATAATGACGACGACGATATCAATCAACTCTCCATGATCAACACTGTTTTGCCAATGTACCGAACCATTTTTTCTCTTGATCATATCCTTTCAGCTGTATCATCGCCGCTACATTTCCGTGTTATGCAACGCGTCAATCGAGTTAAAAATACGACATACTGGGAAGTTACGCATCCAGCTCTTCCGGACACAGATGGACCAGGTGGATTCAAATCGCATTATCGTATGAAACCAGCCACTTTCAATGCCCTCGTAAATATGTTGTCGCAACATCGATTGTATCAATTTACGGCACAAAACGCCACACCTGTGTTCATCCAAGTCGGCCTGATAATCTGGAGATTTGCCAATGCTCATGTCAGTTACCGTATGGCCGAAACTTTGCTTGGTACATCGCATGGATCCTACAGAAATTTTACCAAGCGATTTTTGGAGGCAATGGCCGACTGTCAAGGTGGTATAATCCGATGGCCGACCGGAAATGAAGCTATCAAGGCAACTGTTGAAGGGTTCCAATATGGAGAGCTTGGACCAACATTTGAAGTCGGACCTACTCACCTCCCAAATGTACTCGGTGCTTTGGATGGGAAGCTCGTTCGAATCTTCAAACCAGGTGACAGTGGCGATCGCTTTGTCGACAGAAAAAACAACTACTCGTTGAACATGGTTGCCATTTGTGATTCAGAAAAGCGATTCACCTACATCCATGCAGGGCAGAGCGGTAAGGCATGACATGTTAATGTAATTATTTTAGTTGCTTTTTTGGCTAATATATACGACTTTTATACTATAGGCCGAAATCACGATTCAAGAGCCTTTCAAGCTACTGCTTTTTATGACGAACTTCTTGCTAACCCAGAATCCGTGTGCCCAAATGGAACATTTATACTTGGAGGTAAAGAACAAATTGTTTAGCATAGACCATCGTTGAAATCACGGTACATATTTCTGACATTCCATTTTTTGTTCATAGATTCGGCATACCCTTTGCTCCCGTGGTTGATAACACCATTTCCTGATGCTCAAGCACCCCGCCACAGTGACAACGCGCATTTCAATTATATTCATTCGAGAATGCGTAACGTTATTGAACGGGCATTTGGCCAATTGGTGTGCAGATGGCGTTTTCTACGTAACGAGCTGTATTTGCTGGATGTAGAATCAATGACGATGACGATTGTTGCTTGCTGTATTCTGCATAATTTATGCATTGATCACGACGATCTTCATGCCGAAAGCACATTTGTACCTAATCCGATAACCGATGATTTGCTTCTAGAGCCACTCGAAGTTTCTGACTCTATCAATGACAGAGGTCGTGGTGCGCGCCGTACCGCTACGCAACTGCGAAATGAAGGTGTGCGGAAACGTAATGAACTAGTACAGTACTTGTACGAGAATCGGCGTAGCGAACGTGAGAGCTTCCGTCAATATAATCGCCATTATAGACGCAGATAGAAAATAAATATGTCTTCATAACCAGTTATCTTTTGAGGCACTTGATTATATAAAAAAACCCGAAGGAAAAAAAACTTTATTGAATTTAAAATAAAAAATCAAACAAAAAAGATTCTACATCTTGTCAATAAGTTGCTTCATTAAATCTAAAAAGCTCTGTTGTGTGTGTTGCTGTTGCTGGTGGCGCCTTTCTTGAGCTTCAAGGATTTCTTTATGTTGCTGATCGAGTAGCTCGATCAGCTGTGACCTCGCTTCCTCGCTCTGCTGGTTGGCGGCATCGATCCGCTCAAGCACATCTTCATGCCGCAATTCTGCAGGAGTCAATCGTCTACGTCTTGCGGATGGCTGCAGCGTGCTGTCGGTTGCTGTTTGTGTATCGGCGCGACGACGAATGCCTCGGAAAGAATCGAACTGGATTTCAGGATTGAACCTCGGGTCATCCTTCAGCAACGCATGCATGTCATCGTATAAATACCAGTCGTCTATGTCACCGGACCCTCCAGTCTGCCGATGGCGTTCGGTAAAGCACGAATGGTAACGACTGCACATTCTTTCCCACTTGGTTTTGATGGCGCGCTTAGTTCGTACATTACCGAAAGTTTCGACAGTACTGTTATCATTCGTGAAGTCTGAAGCCGATGGATCTGTTGCTGCTGTTGCTGCTGTTGCTGCTGCTGCTGATGACGTTGCTTGATCGTCGCTCGAAATACTGCTCGGCTCGACGACAAGAGACGAAGGTGGTGGCTGGTGCTCGTCCAAAGACTGTTCGCTTTCTTGAGTGCCATCAGTAACAATTGGTGATGCTAGAGGTGTACACTCTTTCTTGAAATCTTCAATGATTGCATCCCATGTACGGCCGCGATGATTGTTGTCTCTTGGATGCGTAAGCTCATCATAATGCTTAGAGACTGCGGTTAGCAACGCCCTTTCTTCAGCCTCAATCCAATGTTCAGGGGAGCTTTGTGTCGGGACAGAAGATTGGGATGCGGTGGTGTCGTTGTTGCTTTCGTTGCTTTGCATGTTGCTGTTGGACTGGTTATTGGCTTGAACAACAGGAGTGCTGCTTCGATTGTCGCTACTATTACCATGACCACCACGACCGCCACGACTGCCACGACCGCTACGACTGCCACGACCACGACCGCCACGACTTCCAGAGCCACTGCCACGACCTGCACCACCAGGATTAACGATAACAATTGAGAGTTCACGAGGTGTTTGTTCTTGGGATGACATTTTGAAAAAAAAAAAGTTAATTACTCATCTTCCTGCTGAACGTACCTTACTTTTATATATACCCGAATCGCTTGCGGGCGAATTACACATACAGTTTTCACAAGCTGTTAGGATTGCAAACGCAAATTATAGTATCTTCACCTTCAAGATAGGATCTTCACCTATCTCCATCATGCAATAATAGACTATCTGCCGCTTTTTTTGCAACTGGTGTTTTAGTTTTCTATCAATATTCACAGTTACATCTATCATGCTGCCGGATACAACCGTAGCTGTCAGTTATACATCGGCAAAGAAATCAGAACCCTTTTTGAAGTATAATTGATGGTCATATCTAGGGGAAACTCGCATCGGTTATCACTTATCGTTGATATCCGCTATCATTACCCGTTTTAGCAACTGTGATCTCTCAAGCAAATGGGTCGACACACGCACATTTGGAATTAGCCATGGTTTCACAGCGGCATACAAATTTTTTTTTATTTCTTCCGAATTTCCATTCTAAGAATTGTGTGTCGACGTTGACTCACGTTGCTTGAGAGTACCCCAAATCAATTGTTTCTTAAGCATCTTTAGTCTATTTCTATTTGGCTAACTTCTTAAAAAAATGTTTTGGGAAGGAGAGGATAGTCGTCAAAGTCTGCTGGTTTAGGAAAATTTTGCAGGCGAAGGGGAAAATTGAAACGCACTCATGCATATTCGAGTAAATAATACTCACGTGAAATTTCCTAATTTGGTTAGTATCTAATGCCTTACACTGTTATTCGTAAGAGCTGAGATGTGGCCACACCCTATTCCTTCTACCAGATGCCACCACTTAGGAAGCGCCAGAAGAGCGCTAGAGAGAACGCAAAGAGAAAACAACACGATGAATATGGAAGATTCATAGCTTCGGAAAGTCCAGCGACTATTACATATGTCGATGCAGGATCTGAACTAAGTGACAATAACGACGACGATAATATCAACGATTGGGAACTCCTTGACCTGACGCACAATATATTACAACAGGCTGCAAAACTATCGCTGGCCTGGAAAGACGATGCAGATAAATCCATGCGTGTAGTATATAACAAAGACTCCCGTACGACCAACTGGCGAAGACGAACAGAAGCAAGAGCTGCTGCAGAAGGTTGCAAAAAGGTCGATGATTATTTCACGAAGGTGACGCAAACGCCGTGTATACATTCAGAGAACTCTTCTAAAGCTCTCCACAAAAACCACAGCGTCGCCAATATTGATGGTGAGGAGCAACTCTCACAGCTTTTAGCATCTTTAAAAGCACTTATAAAGCCGGTAGCAAACAAAGGAAGCACGCTCAATACTATGGGTGCTTTTCAAATGGCAAAAATACAAGCTGTATACCGGTACTATCACTATCGGTCACAGGGATTGAAAAGTATTGATAGTTCTCAAAGAGCTGCTGTCGATATCTGGACCACCCCATCAAAAGAGTACAGGGCAAAGGCCATCCGCTACTGGGCGCGCGAATTCCGTGATTCTGGGTCCATCTCAACACATCAACAAGGGAAGCATGTAAAAAGAGAATCACTCCTCAGTGACGAGTCCGTGGAAGAACGAATCCGTCTATTGATAGGCGGTCAAAAACTCGAACTGCGTAACCTCCCTGCTTTTGTTAAAGTTATCAATGAAAGTATCATCCCTGAGATACTTGGTGTTCCAGGCTCAGTATCACAGACGACATTATGGCGATATATGTCTGAGTGGGGTTATCGATACCGCAAAAACAGCAAGGATATATATTACGACGGGCACGAACGAGATGACGTGGTAGCATACCGATTAAAATGGGCTAAACGAATGGTGGAGTACAAGAAGCGGATGGACTCGTACGAAGGACAACGTGCAGAAATCATCATTGAGCCATCTTTAGCGCCTGATCAAAAGAAAATTGTTATGGTTACCCATGATGAGTCAACCTTCTATGCAAACGACGGTAAACAAAAGCTATGGCTGGCAGACGGCGAGAGTATCCTACGCAACAAAAGCCCTGGACAATCCATTATGATATCCGAGTTCCAATGCGCGTGTCATGGCACAATGCGATCTGGAATATGGACCTCGCGTACATACTTCTATGCAGGGGCTAACCGAGAACAGTATTGGACCAGCAAAGACATGGTTAAGCAGTTAGAAGAAGATGCGATCCCACTATTTGACCTTTTGCACCCTGGTTGTCAAGCATTATTTATATTCGATCAAAGTAGTAATCATAACGCTTACCCAAGTGATGCATTACTGGCGAGAACTATGTGCAAGGATCCAAAGCGGTGTGGAGTGGATAACGCAGAGCATGACTGCAGCATGCACGTGTATCGGGACAGCTACTTTATCGATGAAGCAACCAAAGAAAAGAAAACACAAAGGATGTACATGAATATCGAAGAAAACATTAAGAAACGCAAGCGAGGTGTCACGATAGTCACGGCCGACAAACAGCAAGTATGCCAATTCAAGGGGATAAAAATCATTTTGAATGAGCGTGGACTTTGGTTTGAGGAAGACCCGTATAGACCTGGAAAAGTTTGGCGAATGGATTGCAAAAAAGAAGAAGCGGACGATAGCAAGTGTTGTGCTAGACATTTTCTTGGTGCTCAGCCCGACTTTCGAGATCAAAAGACAGCCCTTTGTGAAGCTGTGGAGAACGCGGGTCACATTTTTGAGCTATATCCAAAATTCCATTGCGAGTGCATTTGGATCGAACGATATTGGGGCCAAGCAAAGTACCATGCACGAATCAATTGTGATTACAGTTTTAAAGCTTTGAAAGAAAACTTACCAAAGTTCCTGGATACTGTTTCGCCCCCAGACGAAGTACCTACACTAATTAGACGATTTTATGGAAGGGTGTGGCGTTTTATAGATGCTTATTCCCAAGAACTACCAACTCCCGAAGCTATCACTCTTGTGGAAAGATATACTTCCCGAACTTACAGCTCACACCGTCGTGACGATTTCCCTACTATTATTTGAATATTACCAAATAAAGAAGCGGCATTTGAAATCTCAAAATTGAAACATTGGCGGTTATAGATGAAATACACCATACGGCAAAAGGAAACTCATCATATGTATGTATATGTGCGTGTGTGCGTAGGAAGTAGTGTTATTATCCTCGCTATCACGTCGTGGCTTAATATATATGTGTGTATTAAGATCTACAATATTTGCTAGATAAATGGAGTTTTGTTTTACTCTTTGGTAGATAACCGTTCCAACTCCTTTGCAATAGATGCATTGTAGCGTCCCTTTAAAATCTCTTCGTCTCCCCATCCGCTAAACCCCTTGTCCGTACTGTTTTCATCGTCACTGTCGGTCTCGTCGCTAAAGTTATCCAGCGAGCAAGAGGACATGCTGGATGAATCGACCTCTGCAGCATTATTATTATTACTACTGCTAGTGCCACCAGCATTTCCTCTAGCATCACTGTCGTAGTCATCGTCGCAAAACATGCCAAATACTTCATCATGTAAAGCATCTGAGGAAGGAGAATGTTTGTATTTTCGTGAGCTTCCTGAGCTTGCGGTCGGCGACGTTGGACTTCCACCACCCGTCGTGTTATTGGTGCTTGTGCTGCTGGGAGAAGCGATACTCGTCATCATCATGGATCGTGACATGCCTGTACCTGAAGGTCGACGTGACACTGAAGAGTTTGAACGTCCCGGTGTTGAAGATGCACTTCGCCTGCCATTGCGATTGTTGGATTCCACTACAGCAAATGATTTTTGTCGTTGACGCCGATTCCAGTGAAGACAGTTGGATAACGAGTTAAACCAATCAGTTGCTTGATCTTCCTTACAAACCTTTTATATATTAAAGCCATTTAATTAGATATGTTTTGCCTGCTTCATCAAGCAACCCCACCCCATTATTGCTATAGCACACCAGCAAAAAGATATGTATTATTTGAACTTACAGTAGGGAATGGGTATTTGGATGCTGTCACCTTGATATGATCACCCTCTATAAAGAACACAACACATGATGAGCTGGAATCACAGTACAATAGAGAGCAGAGAAAAAGTACATGTTGTATTTGTACGCTTACGTTTGAGCTCGACACGACCACGACCATCAAAACTTGCCCATGCGGTATTACGAGAATTATAGGGAACACAGATCCGGAGTTCCATAGAATCAGGAACCAGCGTTGGTCGGAAGGAGAGTGTGTGTGGACAGATTGGTGTGATAAGTAATGCGTGAATAGCAGGATGCGTAAGTGAGCCTCCAGCTGAAAGCTAATAATGATCATTGTTATTTTACATTAGGAACGGGCATTATTTGAGGTCACAGAAAGCGCGATGCTTGATCGACTATAAGTACTTACTGAATAAGCTGTGCTGCCGGTAGGTGTTGAGATGGCCAATCCATCTGCTTGAACGGTTGTAAGGTGTTTGTCATCACCAAAAAGCTCAAGCAAGCTGACATATGGACTTGGGCCGCGATCCACTACTAGATCGTTGATCACTTGATACTTCTCCACTGGTACCGTTGTAAAACAAGGGATTTGCCGTTGCTCCATCATATCATCGTCATCCCCCCAATCCATTTCGTTGCCACCGCCTCCGCCGCCACCATTAACTGCCCCTGATTCGTCCTCGTCATCCAGATCTTCGCCGTCTACTTCGCCAAACTTTTTGCGTCGACTCTTTTTGGTTTCTCTGCACCAACCACCGACTGTGATCTTGCCTGTGACGGGATTGCGCTTGACGTTACGAAGTTGTATTGTTCTAGCTTGCTCAGGTGTTTTACAATCCGGATGCGGCACGCGACGATATACAGTGCAAGTCAATCGGCCGCGCAAGTTGATTCGTACGCCATGTTGCATTGCATGAGTCAAGTATTTGTCGTAGTTTTCGAATTCGAATGGAGTTAAGAAACCAAGTGATCCCAGGTGAAAAGGGATGACAGGCGGTACATAAGCTTGGAACAGCCAGGATGTAAACAGAACCTACATAAATATGGGTGTGTAAGTAAAAGCCGTCTTCGGGGATCATCTCCTGGTTCCTTTTTCATGCAATCCATATATCAGCATTTACCGTGCCATCCCCTCCGAGCTAAAACCACAAGGAAGAAAGAATGATCGATTAGCTTTATCTTTCTCTCTCTCGGAAGCAAACGGGATCAAAGCAAGATTTCTTACCGTGACAATGAAATCAAAGAGTTTGGGTTGCAGTGCGCATAGTTCAGGATTCCAAAACCGTAATTTATCTTGATACTCGGGATAACGCTGCATTATCTTATTGTATCGGAACCCTCGAGCATTCTTGATCTTCTCATCCACATATCTATCATCGATTGATCATCATCGTATATGTATGAGCACCAAATATCTGATCCTTCGGCATTTGCATCTTATATATACGGGGAAGGGTTAGAAAGAAGTTTATCTCCTTACACGGTCAGCCCACTCGGTTGTCCATAACGAGGCGTTTTAATTAACCATAGAGCTAGTTCGCGCGTCATACCAATAAGCGACAGATCGCCTGGCTTTGTGAGAATCATTACTGACTTTGGATTATCCCACTTGATCCGCGTACGTCCTGTTTAAGCAATTTCAGCAAAGTTGAAAAGGGACAGGGGCATAACAGCGTGTCAGTTGTCATTACGTTTGAGGCCATTGCTGCTGTCAATTGTGCTTCCCACTTTTTATTCGGTGTTTGTGCATTACCAATCTTTTTGGAGACTTCTCGTACGGCGCCGGCAGTATCTGATAAACGTTCGGACGTCTGTGCTCCTGAAGGTGCAGTGGTAGTAGCAGCAGACGTTTTGCATGGGTCTTGTTGCTGTGAATGCTGTGACGAAGTATGATGCTGCTGTTGCTGCGACAACGGGTTCGGTGACACATTCGGTACTGAACCTGGCCCGCGTTGGTGTACCACTGGTGGCAATTCTGCAGGGATTTGCGTTTCGTTGTTCGACATATTTATTTCTTTCGTATAGTTGATTAGAAATAGAAATAGAGAGTGTGTGAAGGTTATGGAAGAAGAAAGGACGCTTTAAATAAAGGCTTGAATTGAGGATATAGAAGACGTAATCGATGAACAAGTTAGGAAGGTAAACGTGTACAGAATGGGGAAAAAAATAAAAAAAAGAAGATACAGTGTCTAATATGTGTGGGTCATTAACACATCTGATGTCGCTCGCAGTAGTGGCGACGACGCCGAGTACGTTTTTTTTTTTGAGCGTAACAAAAAAAGGGCTGTGTAACCTTATTTCCATTTGACGAAGCAAGAGCGGTTCGGTAAGCCGATCGTTCAAGCTTAAAAAATATATCATTCCCTCCTTTTCTCCGAGCTGCTCGTACTGATACGAAATGCTTTTTCTGCGCTCACTCACACTCATTTTCTTTACAGAAAACATGTAGATGGCAATCGTACACCAGTCCATCATAGAGGAAAAGAATATGCACTGCTACACGTGGTCGAAATGATGTGAACACACGATATAGTAGGTATTAGCCATGTAATGGGTCAAGATACCGATTTCTCCCATAAGAAAGTTACATTGTTCCATAAAAAGCATAAAACCTTTATGCACATACGCCCCCATGAGGTAAAGCTCTTTTTATATCTTGGGATGTCGCTATGAGTGCACCAGAAGATGTGGCTGCGGTAAAGGCGTTGTCAGCAATAATGCAGATATCATTGAAGTTAATGCAATCTCAGTACCCAAAGTATAGCTTGCTTGCAGATTACTGCCTGTACCAATAATCGCTGTAAGTACAGTACGTTACTGATGCAATAACCGTCATCCATGCTCGTGCGGCTGCTAAGATATTATATAAGTACATATCAGGTGGACACCGTCGACAGATATGGCAGAGTTCATATTGGGCATTATGAACCTTGGCTTGATCAATGCATAAACGAACTTCGAGCATCATTTTGTCTTCCTTTTACGCACGCACCAGAAATTCATCAACATGCGACACATCTGTGTAGTTCAGAGGATTGGTCATCCTAACGATTACCGGGTTCCACTTTGCAAAGATTATCTTTTACAAGAAAGAAGAAAATGCGACATACCTGATGTCCAACAGCGAGCCTCCCTAAAAATCCGTCGCTTTAATGATATTCTCACAGTCCTTCTTGGCTTCAACTGCATCTCTATCTTCCGTCAATTCGTAGTCTGCAAACCAACAGCAACCCCCAGTGACCAAGAGTTATTGCTCCAGCACTGCTACCTCTTTCTTATCCACATCCTTAATATAACAAAACTGGGCATTGTCAAACAGCATGTCAACCTCCCCCCCTACCCATCTTCATCATCACAACAAAAGGTCTACATAGCTTATCGTCCACCAGTACAAATCACTCGCAGCCGCTTATTTACCACCGGATCCTCACAGCAATCAAACACCTCGTCAATTTAAAAATGGTCTGCCACCTAAACGAAAAATACATGCATGCAAAAAAATGCAAGGAAACGACCTGTAGAGGAGGATAGAGACGGAGCCATGAATTTGTACGCTTATATGGATAGCCTAGTGCATCAACAACACATTTTTGTAAACTCGCTTCAGAACTCTCTAAAACATCAAGTCGTTGTATGTCATGTTGCACCTGAGCCCTTTACAATAGTTACACTTCAATACAAAGTTCAGAGTTCAAAAAAAATGTCTCCCGCGTCATGCGACCGCGTCATATCAGCAGTATAAATAAGTGCTGCACAAAGCAGCAGATGTCCCATTCATATGGGAGCTTGATATTAACCGGCAGCGAGCAGACTCATCCCTTTTACCAAAACATCTGCGCTGAGGCTAAAGCCATTGGTTAGGTCATGATAATAAGCAGCTTGGAATACTCTGATGGCTGGATTACCAAGTTTGAGAAGCGCCAGTTACAAGTCAAGACATATGCACAGTGAAGCAGGATCAGCAACATAGACACTGGAGACGTGCAGCAACGGATCGCCGATATCGAGGAAAAGATCAAGCAGAATGGAACCTCGAACGTATTTAACTTCACCGAGACGGGTATTCTTTATGCCCAGGTTCCACGCAGAACGATATCAAAAGCTCCGCTCTTTGGTATGAAGGAAGACAAAATGCGGACCATCAATTGCCTTAACGTGTAACGCTGATGGCTCTTTCAAGCACAAGCTTTCTTTCCTTGGTTATGCAGCCAAACCTCATTGTTGCGAAACAGGTATGTATGTAGTTATACATCAGTAAAACAAAGCATTTATCAATAATAGCATAGCATAATTCTAGGGACCGATTGCTTAGATACACGCTTTCCGTGACGCTGGGGACTTATAAAAAGCTAGATTATCCAGATAAGCGTATCCGCGCTCAAAAGAGCTATAAGGACCTTTTGTCCTGATCGACACCATCGCTCACTTTGCACTTTTACAATGTTTTAAAGAAACAGAATACTCTGATAGTATGTCTGTTTGTTAATGTGTGTCTTTTATTCGACCACTTTAATATACATATCATAAACAAGATGAATGTATCGTGTAACAGCTAGGACAATCGGGACCTAGTCCCAGTAAAACATCAAGCACGAGTATGAAAATCCAAGATGGTAGTTTATTGTTTATAAAAGCCTTCAGAAGACTTTGAAGGCTTTTCCACAGCTTTTGAAGATTTTAAAGGGCATCTATATTTATTTTTTGACGACGTGGAAGCATTAAGTATCAAGCGCCTACATTATCAAGGAATAATCAATCACTTCTGATTTCACAATGAGGAACATGTTAGCCCACACTACCCCACACCCCATCCACTACTCGGCACACACACTTACTTGCGACACGGATTTAGTTAGCCCCGCGTTCGCCAGCATGGCGGCCCAGTACACATCAACTTTTCGCTGTCCAGCCAAACGTAACACTTGTCGAAAGGTGCGGTTCCTGCTACTACAAGAAAAAGAGAAAACCACGCAAGCGCAATTTTTGTCTAACTAGCATATCATCCCACTCCATCCACCCTCCTCGTTTTCCTTGATACCTGCTCTATTCGTTGATAAGTCCACCAGACAACAGCCCTCGCAGATGACGACGCGCCGCTACTCGGGACCGCGTCATCGTTCAACAAGAAGAGGGTGTAAAAAAAGTGAATGTAATTAATAAAGATCGCAGAGAGAGTTCCTAACTGAGAGGCAAGCCCTTCCCCAGCGTCCACAAACCCACTTGGGAGTACACAACTACGCGAGTGACTCAAACAGCAGAAGGTTCCCTTGATGGTGTAAGAATGCCCCAGGAGCAGCCAGCCACGGTCAGAGATGCAGGACTAGCCACGCTTGGAGCTCTTGGAAAATAGATAAAAAGAAAGGTTTCGCGGCCACTGGTCGCCGGACAAGTAGGGATTCGTCCTCTCTTACTCTGAATACTCGTAGAGGGCATATACTTGGAGCCGGGTACGGTTTAGGACCACTAGGCATGCTCATATCAGCCCGCCATGCACAGCGGATCCAAAGGCGGCCAACCCTCAAACCCGCACACTCGCTGCACACTTTGGGCAGTCTGCTGACATGAGATGCCTAAAAGAAAAAGTAAAAGGGAGAGAAGAAGTGATCCCAAGCAACATCGCGTGCCTGCATTTATGAAGAGAGAACGAAAAATAATAATTATTAAGAACACATTATCAGAATTTACCAGTCATTAAGATTGAAGAGAAAACAACCATTCAAAAGTGTTCAGCATCTCTTACCTAACGTTTTTTAACGTTGATCAGGGGCAGTTTGAGTCGTACCCCAGACTTTCGGAAGGCTCTTGTGTGAAGCAAAGCTCAGTGGCAATGTTTCGAGCAAACCGGGCTTCTTTTGCAAAGAAAGCCAATTGTAAATGCTTGAAAATGAAAGTAAATGCCACAATAATTAACTTTTGTTTCTATTTCAAAAGTGCAAACAAGTAATAAAGTTACAAAATCTCTTTATATATACTTGTTGTCGTTTCACGGGCTACAATGTTGATTGCTGTCCTGTACACTTTGTGAGATGTAAATTTGGTGCAGAGCAAACACAGGAAAATACGCGCTAAAAAAAAGTCGCCACAGATATGCAGCCCCGCTGTGACGTCATCTAATCTCTTATGATATTGCTACTGTGCACCTTTAATCAAAAGAGCTATAGAAAAAGAAGTTTTCGAACTTAAAGAAGTTGCCTGTCATTGTCTTGGGTGCTGTTTTCAAGCAGTGTATGAATGTTTCACAACTGCAAGGCAGCTCCGCTTACTTTTGTGGCAGATATAGTACCTGAACTGCCGCCACAGAAATCAGCGACTACAATAGAAGCAAGGAAAAAAGGATCTACAGGTGTTTTGTGCCTGAAAGTTGATATACTAACCCAAATCGACGCTACGCTTTTGAATACGCTTTTGAATACGCTTTTTAGAAATGGATACGCTTTGGGATACGCTTTTTTTGACGCGGATACGCTTTTGAATACGCCTTGAAATGGATATAAAATACAGGAGTTGCATAAGCGCTAGTTCTAACATCAAGTAGAAGCAAACACCTGACGCAAAAGGAACAGTATAAAGAACCTTTTCCCCTGTCTCAATTCATTTTAACATGTTCCTTCAATCTGTTTTGAGCATATATATCCGCCAAGACCGTTGTCTTTGTCAGTAAAGTCTTACAAGAACACAACTTATGAAAGTATAGTATATCTCATCCATTTCTTGCTTGGTAGAATAATTTTATTGTTGAGCCACACTGAGTCATTGCTATCCAGTATAGATGAATGCTCAGGGCTATATATATTGATACAGTATGTGAGCTCATAAATTGTACCGTTATTTCGACGAGAAAATGAGCTGCGAATCACATATTGTTCGGCTGTACATCTCAGCGCAAGCTCCTTTATCGCCTTCTTCCACTACTTTTCCAGTGCTCAATTTCCGCATTATACTCTTATTTTGGCTATCGTATAGGTTGCGAATAGCTGCTAGATCCACAGGCAGCGATGTTTTCGTTGTTGGGCTGCTTGTTCTATGGCATCCAATCCGGCAGCAATGGTATTTGTGTTCGCAACTGAGCTAATGGGTGGCTTTAAAAGCTGTTTTTTTATGAGGAACAATCATTTCAAACTACATACTGACAACAAGGGGTCCATCAAAAACCTGATCGTCCATATGAAAACATATGGTATTGATATTGATTTACGTGTGATTGATTTTATAGACCAAAAGGCTTTTATTGCTCTTGTTAATTAATTGTTGGGAGATATGTGATAATACAATATAGCAATGATATTTTACTTAATCTGGAGGTTGTGATAATTGTGTTAGAAAGAGTTAAAAGGATATTCACACATAAATATAAGAACTATGATTTCGTGATACTATGGATTTAATTTGGCTACCTCGGAATAACAGAATGATTCACTGGTACATCATTGTCATTGCTGATTTTACTAAATCGTCGATCTATCTATATATCCAGTTGCACAAAAATTCAATCAAGCTTCACTTTCAGTGGTGCATCTGCGTCATCGACCAGAACCAAAAGACTACGGCCGGTCAAAACTAACTAAAGGGGTCACAATAACAATTGCGACAAGACTACGAAACGTTGTTCCTAAAAGATGTTGTATATAGAGGACTGACTCTGTTACGCAGCAGACAAGAAAACGATACATGATTAAGTGTCTTATCAAATACAGAATACACCATGTCATTTGGTTGGCAAAAATGGAATATATTAGTTTCGTAATGTACTGTATGGCACTGCTGCAACGAAAGATTATATCGTAGAAAGAGATTTGCGGTTTGCACTTCTTCGTATGTACCCCGCCTATATTAGCGCCCTTCAAATGTCCCAAGTCAACTGAAAAAGAGATGCGTGTAAGTGTATTCGTGTCGAGTACAGCATATTTGTGAAAATCACGAGAAGAAAATAATCGATTCATTTCATACGCTGATTGAGTGTAAATAGTTCATCTTTCTTTGATTTTCGCATGAAATATCAACAGCCCTCACATCCACCTCCAATTCCAAAGCGTCCGAACCTGGCAGCAACCGACGACGCCGGCATTGAAATAACTAATGTCAAAGATGGGGAAATAGTACATCAGGTAACTGCTGCTAGTGTAACGGCTATCCATGCCGTTTGGTATTTGTTATTAAGCTGTTATACTCTTCCTGAAGAGGTCGCTTTTATAAAGAAAGATAACGAAAACTCACGCGTATTTCTAACCCTCTAAAATATGTAGCGATTTCTTCTTGTCAATGGTCGTGCAGGTTTACGCAATGCCCAATTCCAAGCACCCATCACAGTTGCGTGCAATGACTTTCCGACCACTTCATGGCCTTGTGTGAATTCACATTTCAAGGCTTTAGTCCATTTGTTACCTGGACCCAATACGATTACGCTCATATTTCAACAGACAGCTGTAATTCACTTACGCATCCAATATATGCCACTATTGCAAAACCCGCCTTTGTTTCTCTGTATTTTCATGGCTCAAGACTCACCAGGCACATTTGATGTACCTCCCGAAAAGCGCCATGAGAATACTTTGGCGGTGGCAGTGGAAAAACTGAGAATGGCAGGCTACATGTGGCAAGCCTTTTGTGCTGAGCAAATGTATCGCAACGGTATGGGTCGACGCACATTTCGTCTAGACGAATCGTGGTTACCTGATACTGTTTCCACCCATGAACAAGCTACGCGACAAACAGCTCAGGTTCACATTATTCGATCCAAACATACATTGAAGGAGATTCGCGACATACGCCGAGCGCAACAGAGTCCGAATCGAGACGATAGCGTACCGAGCTTGTTTTCGTATTTCCTCGATGACCTTTCCAACCATCCTCGGTTCGGAAAACAGCCATGCGTTGTTGCCGGCTTGATCCTCGATGCACATTGGGATACAAGCAAACAAACTGTATTGGCACACGCTGCTTTGGGTGGTGGCGGAGGCAATCGGTCGTTGGGTATTTTTGGATCTCATCTGACGCACGCATGGCCCCGGAACATTGAAGAGATTGTACCGTGCATGATGGATACGACGCCGACGGATACTCGCTATGTGGCAAACGATGCCAACGAATCCGGCCAGTGGTGGCGTGCATTGAATATCGGTATGGGTGCTATGGTAAGTTTCAAAATCAAGCACGACTTTTCTGAATGTTCGAGAAAGGATCTACAGTGTGTAGCTATAGAGCTAAAGGTTTTACATAGTTGCATGAAGTGGGCCACGCATACACATTATCACATACTGCCTCAGGCATAATGAGTCGTGGGTATAATAATTGGAATCGGACATTTGCTGCTAAAGAGCCGGGACGAGCACCCATCCCACCCGAAGACGAGGCAGGGTCACATTGGTAAGTTATCAATCTTTTGAAGAAGGAACAAAGAAAGGAAAAAAGAGAAGCGCTAACGCAACAGGGACCATCATTACACACAATCGAATTAAATGGCAGGCACCGGGTCGATATTGTACGACTACGATTCCTCCCCGCCTTCCGCCTGCCTTCCGATGGTCCCGTCGGCAAACCTCACCCCATGGGTCCATCCTTCATTCCGCTCGACCAAGAGCAAATCGAACTGTCAGCGCCTGCTGGACTCTCTATGGTTGAGCTCATTGTGAACGGGCGCTATCGCACACATTTCGAGTACGTTGATGCTGATGGCCCGGTGCAGCAGCTACTGCTATCACTGCAGCAACTCAAGCAACAATGCAATTGCAAACCTAACGAGTGCCTCCGTCTGGAAGCAACCACAAAGAATCAGCAAACGGAAGTGATTGACGACGTAGACCGCTTTCTGCGTGAGCACACTGTGCAGCTGCCAGGGATCCAAGGAGTGGTTGTCAAAAGCGACGGGTTGGGCCACCGGGGGCTTGGCGGGACAGAATCAATGGCGGTGTTTCATCACGGCTATTCACATCCGCAGAAACAGCTCATTTGTGTGCGAGTGCATCATGGAACGTTTCTGGATGGGCTTGTGTTTCGTTGGTCGGACGGCTCTGAAACCCTAATAGGCAAGCGCGGTGGGGGCAGCACCGAGTTTTACATGCAGTCTGGAGAATTTGTGTCAGGCTTTGTCGTGCGCAGTGGGGCCTGGGTTGATGGGTTGCAAATCAAGACCACCACTGGACGGTCAAGTCCATGGTTTGGAGGGCAAGGAGGAGGCATGCATGTGCTGGAGGCGCCGCAAGGGTATGTCATTGTGGGCATGTATGCTTCTGCCGCAGCGTGGATGGACCAGTTGGGTATCTTCTATCAGAAATGCTCAGCATGATGCAAAATGGAATCCATGGAAAATCGGAAGTGTGTGGTCCGATGGTCGCCGTAATCTTCTATTTAAACGCTCTTGTACTAGTTTTTTTCAGTTCTTTTACCTTTCTTCTGGCTACTTAATTTTTTATTTTTACAATGACATTCACTTATGGTTATGAAATGGGTAATTACCTTTTACTTATGAAAGTAAAATTTCAGTGTTTCTCTTTGGTAACTAGAGGCTAAACCTATTCTTTGTACATTGTAAAAAAAGAAACGATGCCCGGCCGAGTGGTAGCGCCACCTCTGCTGCACGATAAGCTTTCCCTCACCAGCTCGGGCAACACTTCGCGCTTTGTCTTTTACGGCACCCGTAAGGAAATTCTTGATTGGATGCGTCAACGTCCAAACCTCGTCATTGAATACCATCTGTTTGCCGATGGCCGTCCTGTGGCATTACAACACCAAACGGAAATTGTTATCGATTTGCAGTATCTTCACGACTCGGAGCAAACCTATGTAAATTATGTCAAGTCATTCTTTGTAAGTGACTATGCCTCTGAGCGTGTCAAGGTGGAGATTCGGCCCAAGTTGGATAGCAAGGATCAAGATGTCATGACCATGTACAGACTTGTCTCAAGAAGCGGGGTAAAACTTGGCGAAGTGGTGGATGATTTGGACCACTACTGGCATTTGCCTGCGCGCACGTATTATCAGCAAGCAGTGGACATGTACAATGACATCCCGGGACCACACCATGTATTGAGTGCACAAGGCCCTTCATCCATCCGTGTGGGAACGGAATCCTCTGTACAGACAGAGCCACCAAAGCCAACGTACACAGGCGATAGTAGTCAGGACGACGGTGAAAAGGTGACCATAGCTTCGGCTCCATCTGCTGCAGCTGCCCATTAAGCACACACAAGTTATGCAGCCCAAATCAACAACATATTCCCATCTGTATTCTCTTCTGTACATAATTCTCTGGTCTTATTAAAACTTCTTTATTATGCTTGTAATTGATTAAAAAGGATATTTTTTTACTACTATTGAGAGAGGGAGAAAATACTTGGGGAAAAGATGTGAGAGAGAGAGGATAAAGAGAGATACTACTATTATAGCCAAGCATAAATTGAAGTGGCCAGAATGAGATAAGCGGATGATTCTCCAAGAGTTGAAGCGGCGCCACTGGCCGAGCTTCCTTCACCATCTTTACCGTTTTGACCAGAGTCACTGACTGGCACTGCAGTATCTTTGTACTGGCAATCCGACGACGTACACAGACACGAGTTTCCAATAGGATCCCACCATTGGGTACTATAAAAACGACCAATTATCAGATTTCCTTTCGCCTTATCTCGTCTTTATTAGCAGCAGCAAACTTACTCGCAGTTATCCGGCAATGGATAACGATACCCGGCCGTTCCGTTCTGAACTGATGGATCTGGCGTCGGATTATCTAGCGTGGGTGCAGTGCTTGGACAATTAAAACATGTCTTGAACGTGGTTGTTCCAAAGTTACAAACAGTGGTCAACTCTTCATCGATTTGACCATTGCCATTATCGTCAAGCCCGTTACATATTTCCTTGGCGATAACAGGCTGTTGGCATTTTAAAAAGGACTGATTCTTCAACTCTGAAGCTTTGACCGGATTCTTCATCCATTGCAGTAGTTGTTGATTAGTGACAAACCACACATCTGGCCTGTCGGCTATTGACTTGATAAATGCAATCAGACCATCCAGTTTCGGTTTTGGATCCGGCAGACCGGGATATCCGGTCAAATGGGCTTTACAGAAAAGTTAAAAGTGTGTTAGAGTACACAACAGCAATAATATGTACATTTGTCCATGTGCAAGGACATACTTGGGTGGATGTAGATGCCAAATGGCTGACGGCCACCGTTATAATGCTTGTCAAATGCATCTGTGCTCCATTTTGTGACGTCCTGAGGTGACCCGGCCATATAGACATCCATGAGTTGGGGGATGCCTGTGGCGTCAGGCACTGCATACATCGGAATTTCCCATAATCCAGGGATTTGCGTATCGCATACGCCCGTCCAACAGTTGTTGGCCATACCATGATCCAGTGTATACGGCCAGTACGCATCATCAGGTATCGCACTTGCACTCGAATCGTATGTAAACCCTTGTTTTTTCAATACAGTCAGTGTTGTGCCTGTAAAGTTCAGGAACGGTGCTCGGAATCCTTGGATTTTGCCATTGGGCACTCCGCCATATGTATTTAGCATTGTGCGACAACTCGTTATTTCATCTATTAACATAACCAGACACACCATTTTTTATGGTTTAGCTCGGTGCTGTTCTTTCTTGTGGCGGTACATATAGTAGCAGCATAGATGATGATCTAGTGCACTAGGTGGAAGTGGTGGTAAACTATATGTCGACAAAGTGACAAAGCACCGGCAGGGAGGAACAAAAAGGGGGCGATTGTGTGGGGAGTAGTGAAGTGGGGCTGATAAAGGAAAAAGAATCTTACTTTCTGATGGATCCCCAACATGGTTGAACGTATGGCTGTTGTACGTAATATGTAAAAGAAGTTGAAGGGAGAAAGAAATAATTGTATACTGTCAGTTAGGGAGACGTTTTTTTTCTTTTCTTAGAGAAAGAAGTATGTTGGCAAGCACACCCGAAAAAAAAGCTACGATGATCTCCTTACTCTGCTATCTCATGACCGGCAGAATACCATTGCTGGACAAGTGAAAAGTCGGTATATTGCATCGACGTAAACCTAGATCGTGAAAAAGTTGTTATGCATGAGATATATAGGAAATTTTCTCAAGCTGCTTGCATTGTTTGGCCTACTAAAAAACATACCATGTTCCTCTGGCAGGACATCCGTTAGGATTCCTAGATTGCAGCAATTGAAAACGCCACTCGTTATTACACGTAGCTGCTTATAATGAGCAGTTTTATATACATCATAAACAGCTACATACGTTACGTTTAGCAAATCATACGCTGTTTGAATGAGCGTAGGCTGGATCGAGTCATCAAACGTAACAGTGACAAATTGACTATGATGAATACGAACACTTATTAGCATGTAGAACAAATCCTTTGACTTGATCTAGTGCGGTTAGTTGCAAAGTAGTAACATTACGGAGTATCTTGTGGTGAGAAATTGTTCGGTGGGTTTTTGGATGCACAAAGACAGTTGTGGGCAATCTGACAAGTTGCCGGGTCGCAATTATACGGCTTGCTATTGGTATTTCCAGTGGGAGTGACAGAGGCACCTTCTTGCGCAACTACTACGGATGAGTCCTTGAGCAAGAAGAGGATTAACGCGAGCGTGATCTCGCTCGTAAATAAATGATGTGGCGAAAAACGCATTCTTCTTTTTTTTTGTTGCTAGCTTCTTAGTAAGTATGTAGTGCTGAGAGGAAAAGATGAGAAAGAAAGTAACATGTTGCCACGATTAAAGTAAAGCTTTTATTTTATTCAGGGGAAGGAAGCACGGGGTTGCTGTTGGGAGAAAGCTCTTTCTTTTCGCGCGGCAATAACTGTTTCCTCAGAGCCAGATGATGTTGGTTCCTTTCCCTTTTCTCTCCTCCCCTCTTGTCGGGATATCCTTCTTTCTTAAGCCTCCTATCACAGAAAGTGTGTTTATCGTTCCTGCATGATACTGAGCCTTTTATTGAGTGGCCTCTAGACTCCCATATTAGCGTTGCCACCAACACTCTTTTTTTCTCGTTCTTTAATGAAATGATATAACGAGTTACCAAGGGCCGATAGTCACTCCATACAAGCTATTTAATGATATCAAGAAACATGTAGACAACGCGTACAACGGTAGTAAAACCTAGATGGGGCAATACCAGTCAGCAACAGCCAAGTTGCTTGTATATCTTCTTGCTTCTTTCCACCAAGCTATGGGTCATCCGGTATTTAGAAAATGATAACTTTGTTGGTAGGCTCTGAATAGCCATACAAGCTACAAAAAAAATTCAAAAGCCTCTTATAAGATGCATGTCTGATATTTCGGCGAGATGCGTAAGTAGTAGTAGTAGTAGTAGTGCGTGAGTACCTTACAAAGCCAGTAGGCAGGTTACTGCTGTTATTATGTTGACCATTGCACTACGTGTATATCTCAATAAGCTGCCATCAATATCATTTCTATATAATGAGTATGCTTTGTTGTTCAGTAACAACCTATCGTAGAATGCGAGACTGAAAGCCATCAGTAGGAAATGGTCCAACCAAGTGGTAGACGATATCAAAGGCTTAGTCCATAGTGTGCATGTAAAGAGAAATCAGTGCTTTTTTATTCGTATAACGCTCATTTTGATCTTATGTATACGGAGTACATACATGTGAAGGTTTATACATGATTGCAAAGAAAAGTTAAAAGGCTGGAAGGCGGAAGAATGGGGGTGGAGATATATTAAGAGAAAGCATGAATGAACGGGAATGATGATGATACAGGATATGATGTGCTGATGAAAAGGGGGGCAAGAAGCTTTTATACAAATGTGTATACGGTAAGAAAAGAAAGAAAAGTATTCTGAATAGTGGCTTAAATCTACTCTATTTAAATGCTGAGATCCTGAAGCGGCTCGGTGAGTTCGACAAAGCTGATCGGCAGGGACGTGGTGTTGGATCCTCCAATGCCTGATTCTGTACCAATACGTGTAACAGCTGCAGTAGCATGGCCATTGCGCGTGAACTTCTTGGCTGCTGCCTCGGATGACTTGCGCCGTCGAAGATGCGTCTCACTGAGCATGTTTTGTCTCTTGAGTGCCCGTTCAAAAAACAAATCCGGACTGGTACATGTGCCTAGAGCGCGCCGCATTTGGGTGTTGATAATCGCCAGACCGATTTGATAAGATGCGTTCATCCAACCAAATCCTTCGCGTGGCACAAACTGGAAATCTGTACCCACATTTCCATACTCGACTTCAACCTTGTGCGTCAATCCAACCACATCTAATAATATTAACAACAATGAAGAATAAAGCAGCATATATTTTTATGCATAAGCAAAACATTTACAAAATAATGACGCACGTGACCCCACAGTGTCTAACGTTTCATATGTAAACATTCGTTGGATGATCCCCGCAGGTTGATACTTACCAAATTTTTCAGGTACCACTCCGTTAAAATCATTAAATGATTTAGTAATTCTATTAAAAGGAACACAGTATTATTGTGTAAGTGGTTTTTCAGCTTGAATTAACATAGCTCTGCACTCGTCCAAAAGACTTACGTGTACAGCCATCGATAGGCAAGACGAGAAGCAACCTCCTGCATCCCGTAGTTGTTGAACGCACGCCAAGCCATGATTTGATGCGGTGCCCAACCATAAGGGAAATCCCATTGTCGGTTGGGTCGATCGAGAGTGATGGCGCCTCGCGAATCTTCTGTACCCGATACCAAGCCTCCCAACACCTCAAATTTCTGCAACGAGTTCGTAGTCATCTTCTCGGCCTGCTCCTTACTGGCACAGCCCGCCCACATGGTCCAAAATGCTGTGACTGATTCATACTTTGTCTGCTTCTCCTTGACCGTATCATAGTCATAATACAAGCTCTTCTCCTCGTTCCACATGTACTTGTCGATCCGCTGCTGCCGTAACCGCGCGCGCTCTTCCCACTCCTCAGCACATTGCTTGTTTCCATCAAAATCCTTTAGGTCACCATCCAAAATATTGCGAATGGCATGGGCGATGTCAACTTCGTACTTGTACAAGAGCGTGTTAAGGTCCACTGTCGCCAAGTTGGCGCACACTTTCTCAAAACGATAGGTAGTGTCATGGCCCGACTCTCGCACAGCACGGTCGTGCAAAAAGTATTCATCAAGCTCCGGCTCCTTGATATCACCAGTGTTGTATTTCTGCATATAATCAACGATGGACATGTTCAATTTTTGTGCGTACGGCTCAATGACGTGGTCGAAATGGGACGCTTCTGTCTCTGGCGGGATACCCACGCCGTCTGGTCTGAATCGCGACAGTTGGGTCTTGGGGTCAAGTCGAGGTGCAGCCATCCACACGGTATGATATTCCTTGATGGCCGCTTTCAAGACGTGCCGCAACCATGCCTTGTTGTCGAGGTTCGACTCGCGCTCATACACACGAAGCGCCATGTCGGTCAAAAAGGGTGGCTGCGAGCGCGACAAGTAATAGGAGCGGTTGGCGTTGAGGATCTTGCCGTAATGCTGGATTTGGTAGACAAAGTTGTCAACCATGTCGTGGGCCAAATCAACACGGTCGTCAATAAGCAAACCGAGCGTTTCGAAATACGAGTCCCAGCCGTACATTTCGTTGAAGCGACCACCGGGAACCACAAAGGGCACGCCGACGAGGGTGTTGTTCTTTTGTCGCATGGCCAGGGCGAGAATGCCAGGTCGGTCATTGATGCTCTTGACGTATTCAGGCGTGATGTCCTGCGGCAGCCGCTGCACGTCGAGTTTCAAATGCTTGCGCGTCTCAGCCACATGCTTGTAGTATTCATAAACCGCATCCTCGCCGTGCGGAATGTAGATGCGCGGGTTGTGGTTGGCAGAACGGTTCTTGGTATCCGCACAAATCAGCTCCAGGCCGTCGGCATCAATGCGCCGCGTAAGGCCTTGCCAGAAGTTGTGTCGGATCATTCTTGAGAGACGGTCCACCGGGTTTTCGTTCAGTCGTGCTTCATCCAACACAATGTGCTTCCGACCGTAGTCTTTGGCCAATGCAAGTTCCTGCAGGAGGTTGGAGAGCATGTATGTGCCGCGAATATCAATCTTGCGATACCCGCCAGAATCAGCGGTGCCAACAGAGAACGATTTCGGCCCGAGATCATTAACTGTAATCTGGTAATCGCCATCGGTATCTTCCTGCTCCATCAAGATGCGCAATGTTTCTTGTACATCAATGAGGAACTTTTGTGCTTTGCTTTTATCGTCTACGGATGAAAAGATGGTTTATATGATAGTTTGAAAATTCAGATGCTGTTGCTGATATAGCAAAAAAAAGTATGTACCATGGGAAGCTCGTCGCTTGCGTGGTGGAACAGGAGAATCGCTGTATCGCTGGCCCTATTACGACACATATAAGTTTAGCAAAACATAAAGCATGGCACGACAAAGAGTAGTAAAGACGTACGGTATAAGTCTTGAGTCGTCCGATCACCCCGCCGGCATTTAGTCCGGTTGTGTAATAAGTGCTGGACGGAGCATGGGCATCAACAGTCTCGTAGTCGGATGCTACGTGTATGGTGGACTGCATGGTGGAAGAAAGATAAGATTTTGCAGGATGAGGAGTTATTGGAAGAAGGCTATGATGAAGGCTACAAAGAAGGAGAAGAGACTAGGCAAGAGAGGGCGATTAGACAAAGCAGCGTCCTTTTTTTATAACGAAAGAAAAAGTGAGCAATTTAGTAAACTTTTTAGACCAGATTCCATTGGTTCCACCTCTCCTCTATGCTCTCTTCCCTCCACCCCCAACATCGTTTGCGAGCAAGCCCTGTGCTACCCCCATGGCATTGATTTTCCACTCATCCATCGGCCGCAATGCATCGGACACATTAGCTTCTTGATACTATGTCTTCCTCTGAGACAACACATCGTCGCGTTACCAGCAAGTAACCATAGAACTCACCATGTTGTCTGGAGCATGTAAGATACAGATCGGTCACATCCTAAAAATGGACTAGTCAAGATTATGCCCCCTACACCTCGCTACAAATGTTCTTTACAGCGTCATTCTGCGCATTCTGTAGGTCCAGAATACGGTCTTCCCCTCCCCCAAAGAGAGATCATGGTGTAATATGCGCAAACAAGAGAGGAGTTTCTTTGTTGTCTTTGCTTATAACAAAATAGCTTTGGGCGGTTGGGGAGGCTGGTGCAGATGTGTGATATGTAGCAATGTCGGTCTGCTACTGTTTGCGGAACGACGACGAGAACGAAACAGGATATTTTATTTTTGTTGTTTTGCAGTTCCGAGGAACCAAAAGAATGAACCCTGTAGCGTTTGCCAATGCCATCCACCCCCTAAGCTAATCTTTCCGCGGGACGGGCCATGTGCGTACGTACAACGTTGCTATTGTTATTGTTGCTTGGTTGCTGTTGTTGCTATTCTATCTTTTGTATTTATATCTAGTATCATTGCTTGATGTATCTGTTATCATTGCTGATGCTGATTGGAATGGACAATCTCAAAGGGGCGTCGAGATGATCTCGGCCAATGCCATACTTGGCAACTTTCTAAAACTTGTATCAATCAACAACAATCAAACCTTATCCCTCCTTTCCCCACCCCAACCCACCCCCAAGAAGAATCGCTACTCTTCTACTATCCATCTGCCACTAATACTCCAACATATGCGTACATCATGTATCATACAGTAGCAACCAACCCCGCGGAAAAAAACAAATGCGCACAATTATCTGCAGATCATGGGTAACCTGTTTGGTTTATCGATAGACACACATATCCTTTTTACTATGATCATGTTGTTGATGATGATGCTGCTGCTGCTCTTCTGTTAGTTAATGAGATTTCTGGGGGAGATCATCATCAATCATGCTGATTAAAATATTTCTGCAAGACACCTCAACGTCATCAATAACACATTTATTCATATTCAGCTGTCAGCAGGCGTGCATTTGGTGATCATGCTGTGACCTTGTAGCATACTCACACACACACTGTGTCGGAGAGAACGAGAAAGAATCACTGATATGTGCAAAGACTGGCTTGTTGACAAACACTGCATTCACGCTATATATCACATACTCAGATGCAGTTATGTTTTGATGATTAGGTGGACAAGTTTGACATTGTCTAAAAAGCTTGATTTCATCGTGTCTATTAAAATGGTTGGGTCACCTTGTTCAACTGCAAACGTTAATAGCTGAATGTGGTGCTTTTTTAAACTCAATGGTCCTGCCATTGCTGCAACAAAAAAAAAGGCCATTACGTAGAAACGATTATGCCAGGGCACCATCTATGACCAGGAACCTGTCGTAATTACTACGGGTATGCCATAATGAGTAAGCCCATGTGTGGCTTTTGTTCTTATGAATTGTCAACCACTTTATACGCAACAAATGGTAAATATAGCAGTACTGCACAGCGGCAAGCACTGACGTAATGATCTCATCAAGGTTTACCGTACTTAAAGAGTACAAACTTAGTTCTTCGCAGCACTCGGTGTATATTTTACATGATAGAACAGTTCTATGTGACTTGCTCCTTATACTTTTACCTACATAGAAAGCTTGACAAGTCCTCTTCAACTGGTGCAACATAGGCAAAAAGTGGAAGTGGGACAAGACCTGCAAGCCGGCTGGACAGTGGGCGCATCCACGTACTACATTTTGACAATATATCAGTCTGAATACTTCTTTTATAACAATATCACAATACAGTATTATACCAAGTAATACCCACTATCTTCTTCACGCCACCAGCAAATAGCACCCAGCAGTCTCTAAGAAAAGCCAAAAAAGCCAGAGAACAGAAGTTTGCGTTATATATCACCGCTCGAGACAAAGAAAGTACTGATCGTATCATGCAATAGGTAGCACATTGGCCAAGCTAATACTTATTTACGACGACCCCAGTCCATGTACAATAAGTGAATGTCAAAAAAATGGATTATATTTCTGTACTCTATCTTGTTTGGGCTCATGTGACATATCTGTGGGGAAGAGTCCATAACTCCTATCGCTCTAAGATCCAGCATGTGCCGGAAACCTTGCCCATAAGTGTGAGTTAAAAAAGGCTGTCAGATGACCTTCTACCGCTTGACGGGCGATGGCTGTAGATAGTACATTCCAGCTATTTCGAGACGAGAATTTGCGTGGATTTGGGACAGTAACAGAATCCGATCGCACATCCTCCAAAAAGTCAGAAAATGTACAAGGATAGTATGTGTACATACAACGTGTATATATGATACCAGGTGACTGGATAACTTTTTTTGGTCTTTTTCCATAGTACACCCTTTCTCCTTCGATTCGCCAGATCTATTCTTGAATAATCATTGTTTGAAGCAATTCTTGCTGCCTTGGCAAAAGAGATGGGACCGTGAATCTCGGGTATTAGTAAGAGACTAAAACTAACCAAGGAATACAAGAACAACAGCGTGTATTAGAAGAAGCAATTGAAATCGACGAATGGCATTAAAGAAAAGGGCAGTATGGCATTGAAAAAAAAAAGCAACGGCAAGAAGTCCTGGTGTACCAAGTCTTGAACAGAGAAGAGAGTGGTCATACATGCAAGAGAAAATGGCTCTGATTGAGTTTAATAATGGAAATGAATACATAAGCCATTTGTCACTAGAATATCAGCATGTGAGCCTCCGCGATCCACAGCAACGTACCACTATCCAATCCTTGGTTCCATTCCACCAAAAAAAAAAACAGGCGTAAACTTTTCAATAGCTACGGCATCAGAATAGAAGGCATTGATATAGAAGTCTTGTATACTCTAAAACCAAAGCAATACAGCACTGACGCACTCTCTGGGGTCAACATTACTGAAGCCACATCATTCCGCCCTCAGCAGCTCCAGTAAAAGCAAACACTCACTGTCAATTCTTTGCACCAGCTGTGAAGTAATAAGAAACCATTGGTAGGTGGGTGCATGGCTTAAGACTTGGCAGAGTGCCGGTAGGAAAGAACAAGAAATGAGCCACGTTGATGACAACCTTTCTCTCGCCCTGTGTAATCAACACTGTCCATCCAAGAAACCACCTTCCTCCTTTTCTTTCCAACCCGTGTCTTTCTTGGCTGAGAACTGACAATAGAACTTGCAAAAGGGTGGACTAAAAGTAAGGCCGGTAGTAAGTGCTACATGGCCATAAATAATCAGGCTGTCCATTGTCCATCGGAATATGATGAAAGAAAAGGAATATAAAAGCAGTCGGGGAGTTTGTTAAAAGTAGAACAAAGTGCGGGGAGAGAAGCAACGATGAAAAGAGCAAGTATGAAGGAAGCGAGTGTTCACGAATTGATACATACCTTCAATATCACGTGTGACGCCACATTACGCCACAGTAGTAGGCTCAGACAACTTTAATAACTGTAAAAGCAACACGAGGAGTATGCGTGTGATGCCCTTGTCGGTGATAAACAACAGCTTGGACAAAGATGACCACGACAGCAGACCTATTCCTTAGCATCGGAGGATGGTTGCCTTGCATGTAAACAAGGAAGGTGTAGTTTCTTTGCATGTGCAGCATCATCATAATCAAAGATAATGCTTGTGGTAGCTGTAAAGTAGAAGGGAGAAGGCAGGAAACGCGATTATGCAGTCTGCTTCTATAGCGTAGATAGCCGACAATGAGCATTAGCAGATACACTGTACTATATAATTATGGTCATGTCACTGTGATGAATGCGGTTACTATGTATAAAGTGGCTCGAGGTCAACGTCGTGACTACAATCAAACAAATAGCAGTAGTTACTTTTATTTCTATTCAGTGATTTTTGCGATTGATATCTGCACCATACACAAACATTATGCCTTATCATGCGATAGTATTTAACCAGCATTACCAAGTGAAAGATTGGTTTTTTTTTTTTGAATTGTTGCAAACAGATCGCAAACCCGCTTTGACAAAATGTGCATCGGTTCGCTCAGTCCCTTTGTGTCTCCCGGGCTCTTGTTTTTGCGTGTTTGCATACCTAATTTATCATCAAGTTTGTGTGCGGCGTCTCATTGTGGTAACGTTAAAAAGTCTGTGCAAAGTGGGTAACCGTAGATTCGTTAACACGGAACTAAGAAGATTGCTGCCTAGAATTAACAAAGTAATCGTTTGTTATGAACACAGTAAGCAACGAAAGTTTGGCACCTTTAAATTGCCATTCTTGGTGTGCTGTGACTGTTTCAGCGAATTGCTGCATTTCGCTTCTGCCAGGAAAAAAAAAGTGTGCAAGTTTGTTCCATTAACCGGCTACGATCCTTCTATTTTTTTTTCTTCTTCGACATCAGAGAGGGCACTAATGTTCGACGACGGCGAAAATACGGATTCTATCTTTGACGTTTTCAGCGGCAAAGCCCACGCCAACGCTCTCGATGATTTTGACGACATTGAGATGGAAGAAGAAGAGGTCAATGAAGAAGAGAATGTCGAAAACACAAAGAATCACGCACAGGTCATTGCTCCCGACAGTGGAGTGCCACCCTCTGCTACCAGTGCACCAAGCAAACGTTTACGACCTGATAACAGTCCAAACAACAACATAACTGACGACGACGACGAAGCTGCTGCTGCTGCCAAGAGACATCGCGTTGAAGATCTAGCTGCCCCACAACCGGTCGTGGCAGACACTTTTGAACAAAAAACTTCGCGCGAAGTGGCCAACATTGCTGGTCTGCAAAACGTCTCTGCAACAGAAGGCCCTCAAATTACGTTGCAGCACCAGGTAAAGAGAAAGTGCAAGAAAAGACTGCTTTGGGGCATATTGAACATTTGGACTGGAAGCAAACTGATTTAAACCTTTTGTTGTGTATATACTTCATACTATTTTGACATTTTAGGTTCGCCACCAAGTTGCAGTACCACCAAACTACAATTACGTTCCGATCTCGCAGCACGTGCCACCCAGCGATCCTGCACGAGTGTACCCATTCACCCTTGATCCTTTCCAGCGTGTGTCCGTCTCTTCAATCGAACGCAACGAATCAGTATTGGTGTCTGCCCACACGTCGGCTGGTAAAACGGTAGTCGCCGAATATGCCATTGCGCAGTGCTTGAAGAACAAACAGCGTATTATTTACACTTCGCCTATCAAGGTAGAATTCAAAACTCGTTGAAAAAAATTATTGCAAAAAAAAGAACCAAGGAAGGGGAGGGGACTAATCATATGAAACGATACATGGATGATAGGCCCTGTCGAATCAGAAGTTCCGAGAATTCACAGAAGAATTCGGCGACGTTGGCTTGATGACCGGTGATGTTACTATTAACCCCCAAGCATCATGTCTTGTAATGACAACCGAAATTTTGCGATCCATGTTGTATCGTGGCTCTGAAATCATTCGTGAAGTCGCCTGGGTTGTTTATGACGAAATTCATTACATGAGAGATTCAGGTAAAGCGAGGACAAGGGAAGTGAGAGAGGGAGAGTAAATTTTTAAAAGAAGAGTGATGCTCATTTTGTGTCTTTTTCTTCGCAAAACTATGTAGAACGTGGTGTTGTTTGGGAAGAATCCATCATCTTATTGCCTCATGCCGTGCGCTATGTCTTTTTGTCGGCCACTATTCCAAATGCTATGCAATTTGCCGAGTGGATCTGCAAGATTCACGAACAGCCATGTCACGTGGTGTACACAGATTTCCGTCCCACTCCTTTACAGCACTATCTGTTCCCCGCTGGTGGCGACGGTATCCATTTAGTCGTGGACGAAAAGAGTCAATTCAAGGAGGACAACTTCCAACGAGCCATTGCTGCCTTGTCGGACCGTCAGGGTGATGATGTTGCTGGTACCAAGGCACGTGGTAGAGGTGGTAACAAGGGACCAAAGACTTTCAAGGGTGGCAACAAGAACGACGCGCCTTCGGATATCTTCCGTATCATCAAAATGGTCATGTTGAAGAACTACCATCCTGTGATCGTTTTCAGTTTTGCAAAGCGTGAATGTGAAGCAAATGCCTTACAACTGAGTAAATTGGACTTTAATGATGGTAAGCAGTTTGCATGGATAGCGCATATTTCCAATTTTCCTATCCAACAAGACACATACTCATATGTGTGGACTGACAATCGTCCTCTCCTTTTGCCGCATAGAAAACGAACGTGATATGGTTTCTCAAGTTTTCAATAACGCCATCTCATCGCTCAACGAGGACGATCGTCAACTGGCACAAATTCAACAACTTTTGCCATTGCTACGACGCGGTATTGGTGTCCATCATGGTGGTCTCTTGCCAATCATGAAAGAAACAATTGAAGTTTTGTTCCAAGAGGGCTTGCTGAAGGTGCTCTTTGCTACTGAAACTTTCTCGATCGGTTTGAACATGCCTGCCAAGACAGTAGTGTTTACAAGCGTACGAAAATTCGATGGCAAAGAGATGCGATGGGTATCATCCGGTGAATATATCCAAATGTCCGGTCGTGCTGGTCGTAGAGGTCTTGATGAGCGTGGTGTTGTCATTATGATGATTGATGAAAAAATGGAGCCTGTTATTGCCAAGGGCATGGTCAAGGTATATCACGATTTGTTTTTCTGTGCTAAAAATGATTGCTGCGTAGTTGGTCGCTAATACAACCGTTTTATCTGTTGCAGGGTGAATCTGATCGCATGAATTCCGCATTCCATCTAAGTTATAACATGGTTCTCAACCTTTTACGAGTCGAAGGCGTAAGTCCTGAATTTATGCTGGAGCGCTGTTTCTACACTTTCCAAAATGATGCAAATATTCCAGATTACGAGCGAGGTATGTATGGGAGTGGATTAAAAGAGAGAGTGAAGAAGTTTGGCTATTTAAATATAAATTTATTTTGCGCTTCAGATCTAACACACATCCTTACTCACTATTTGCAGATCTGGCTCAGCTGGAGGCTGAACGAAGGTCCGTGGTTGTACCTGACGAAGAAGAGATCGCCTCCTATTATGAAGTGCGCAAACAAATCGATACCTACACCCGCGACGTTCGTGATGTCGTCAGCCATCCTACTTACTGTTTGCCTTTCTTGCAGCCTGGTCGTCTTGTTCGTATCAAGCACTTGGATATGGATTTCGGCTGGGGTGCGGTGGTCAACTACTCACGAGCCAAGACGCACAAGAACAAGAATAATACCGACCCAGAGCCTGCCAATTTCATTTTGGACGTCTTACTCTTCTGTGAACAGAGCAGCTCGATGTCCAAAGATGCTGAGGGAAGAACAGTAGGAGTCCTACCCGCAGAATCTGATGAAACGGGTGCTTTAATGGTAAGCTTTGCTGCACTTTATAACTATATCGATATCTCTTTTGATGATTGTGTTACTTACTAAATGACTTCATTTGTGTTAATTACAATAGGCTGTTCCAGTAGCACTCTCTGCATTGGAAGGTATCAGTCACATTCGATTGGTTCTACCCAAAGAAGTACGAAGCAACGATTCTCGCAAGTCTGTGTTAAAATCTATTCGGGAAGTAAAAAAGCGATTCCCTGATAATATGCCGCTTTTGGATCCGGTCGAAAACATGAACATCAAGGATCCTGAGTTCAAGAAACTTGTAGCGGTGAGCCTTTTTCTATGTCTGATTATGAATTTTTCTGATGATCATGGTGTACACAGCAGCTGCTAATATATACTTAAACCTTCTAGAAAATTGTCATGTTGGAGAAGACACTGCTGGCACATCCCCTGAGTCAATCTCCTGATCTACCAGTATTATATGATGCTTATGCTACCAAGGTTGAATTGACAGAAAAAGTCAGAGCTATGAAGAAAAAGATCACCGAAGCACAATCTATTATTCAACTGGATGAACTCAAGAGTCGAAAGCGTGTGATGCGACGGTAAGGACTTCTTTATATTTACTTTGGCTTTTTCGACGTATATAAAGGCTCATGAACTGATAATCATCGTTTCACGTTTCTATTCGTAGACTTGGATTCACTACACAAGCCGATGTCGTTGAGATGAAGGGCCGTGTGGCATGCGAAATCAGCACGGGTGACGAGTTACTGCTAACTGAAATGATTTTCCAAAACGTGTTTAACGAGCTCACTGCGGAGCAATCGGTAGCACTTTTAAGTTGCTTTGTGTTTGACGAAGAGGTGGATCAAAAGGCACGCATGCAGGAAGAACTAGCTGCACCTGTGCGGATGATGCGGGATACAGCTCGTAAGATTGCAAAGATCGCAAAGGAATGCAAGATGGATATCGACGAGGACGAATATGTTGCCAAATTCAAGCCCGAATTAATGGATGTTGTATACGCGTGGTGTCAGGGCGCTAAATTCCACCAAATTTGTAAAATGACTGAAGTATACGAGGGTTCGCTTATCCGTATTTTCCGACGCTTAGAAGAATTATTACGGCAGATGAGTGCTGCTGCAAAGAGTATCGGTAACACTGAACTGGAAAACAAATTCTCAGATGGTAAGTTTTTACACGATCTTTCTTTTTCCTTCTTAGTATCGTATATTAATATGTCATTGTTTTCTTTTTTTCCTGTAAAAACTAGGCATTAGCAAAATCCATAGGGATATCATTTTCGCTGCATCTCTTTACTTGTAATTTCATTAATTCATTCTTTATTTCTTTCCCTGTTTACCTTCTTTTCATATGCATTGCCGACAATAGTAACAGCACAAACACATATTTTACTATTTGTTTCAATTTACATACGGTTTTCCTGTACATGCATGTTTGTCACTACCTTGAGCGTCAAAGCGATCCATTTTTTTGGAAGAACATGGCGATAGTTGAACCGTATCGAGGCTATAGATCTTTTTCAGACGACAAAGCTTCATCTTTGACTTAATGATACATATAATGGCTATGATATATACTTAACAAGATGTATGCTTTTCGATTTATACCTGTAACACACTACAGACGCGTTGATATGTCTGGATATGGTGTACGAGTTAAAGCTATAATTTTTGAGGAGAGTAACGCTTGGGTTTACCTTTGAGGGCTTGTTATGAAGGGAACGTCGACTCAAAGTCCATCAAATTGAAAGCTGTTCTATCCCTGACAATCAAACAACTGGATTCCATATTACTATTTCTTTATCAAATATTCCATATATTCAAGTCGTGGAAGATTAAAAAAAGAGATGCTTATTTTTTAGTATCTTTGAATCATGTGCTCACTTTCCTCGAACGAAAATTGACGTATTTTTTTTAGTAATGCATAGGCGAATCTCAGTTGAGATAGAAAAAAAGCATCCGCTGGCATAAATTGGGAGAGCTTCCCTTCTCTTCCTTTATTTTTTTTTGTTTTCCGGGAAGTTTAATGGACGCGCTGCCAATACACCAAAGGCATACTTCATCTGCTACAGGAAGTCGCGCAGGCAGTACAAGCGGTAGCACGGGCAGTGGCGCTGGTGGTGGCAGTGGTGGTGGCGGGTTGAACATTTTAAAATCGCCTTCAGGATTAAGCCCATCGTCAGCTGCTGCTGCTGCTGCAACTAGTACAGCAGGCAGCACACAACGCGATCAACAAGTCGAAAAGCTTCTTAAAGAAGTCAGACATTTGAAGCAAAAAGTGGATATCCTCGACAAGGAAAACATTGCTTTGAAAAAGAGCATTTACGATCTGTCGGCACGTTACGCTGCTTCAATCTCACAAGGTGGTCTTTCTTATCGTCCGGGTCCATTTGTGATTGAGAATGACACGGCAGCTAGTTCAAAGGCAATGATCGGATCAAAAGCCCAAGAAGTTATTTCAATGGCGGTAAAAGAGGCTGGTGGAAATGTCGATGGCTACCAACCAGGTAAGTGGACGTTAAAGATAACAGTCCGGGAAACTATGGACAAAAAAAAAAGAGCTAACATGGATGAATAATATGTGTCGGCTAGGTTATACACATGATGGAAAAGCATTCGAAATGCGATACGAACTCAAAGTAAGTCGGGTCACTTTTTGGCTTTGGGGATTTGTGGATCAATGCTAAATACGCTATTGCTGCTCTTGTTATCAGGGTCACACTGCTGCAGTATATACAGTCGAATTCTCACCTAATGGAAGCTTACTTGCATCTGGTTCTTTTGATAAAACCGTGCGGATATGGGATACTGCATCAGCTCAAAAGGAGGTTAGTTACATCTCGAAGATTAGGGGCGGTTTTTATCTGGAATACGTCGATTGATGAGTCTCTCTATGCATGTGATGTTTTGTTAGATGATGTGCCTCAAGGGCCATACGCTCAATATATCGGATGTAGCTTGGACTTCCGAATCTAATATGCTTGTATCTGGAGGTTATGACGAAACTTGCAAAACTTGGGATGTGGAAACGGGAAAGCTTACTGGAAGCTTTGATATGGAAGGCTTTGTTCAATGCGTGAATTGGGATTTCATGAGTAAGTTCTGTACCCGTTACGATCACAAATCCGCCAAGTGTTTGATTTTTCTTTCTAAAGTTATTCTCTTGCTTCAGATTCCAATATATTCTATGCTGGTACTTCTCGCAAGGTGCTTGCAACTGTCGACACACGTGTACCTTCTCCTAACAACACAACAGTGATACGAAACGATGCCATGGTCAATACCCTCTACGCCTCAAGGGATGGTGTTCACGTGATTACAGGCGATGCACAGGGCATGCTAAAAGTTTGGGATATACGATCACGTACGTAGAACTATAAAGCACAAGGGAGAGGATCGGCCATCTTTAACATTAACGGATTATCTAATCGTAAAAAAACAGAAACATGCATATCTAGCACTGCCAACGGTACCGGAAAGATGCCTATTACACATATAACTATTGGACGGCGCAGAACGGATGCATCACGGAGAGCCGGTGGGTGTTTCTTTTAAAAGGTGGACGGTACAGGTTTAATTTTGCAACGTTGGTGTGCTAACTGAGCTCTCTATTTAGTGGATGACTATGACGAACCACGATATATGGCTGTCAATAGCTTTGATAACAGTACGTGAGCATTGAGAAAGAATGATAATAGTGTTGTCGAATCACCCACTCACCTATAATGATGTTTCGTATAGTCCTACGAATCTATGACCGCGGCATGGATCCACCAAAATCAGATACCCGGTTGGTTCATACACTGAAAGGATTCAAAAACAAAAACTGGCCTGTTAAATCTTCATTTTACTGTGGAAGCGGATGTAAGTATCTGGAGCAAAAAATTGCGGAATCGTTGATATGCAAAGTACATGCTATTCCTCCAACAGCGTCTTAATCTTCCTGTAGACAACGCTTCGATTCTTACACGACCTTCGGCAGCGACAGTTGGTGATAAAGAATCTGACTCACTCCTCGGCTCTGGTGGTGACTATCTAGAGCTTCCAGAGATGAAAGAGGAAAAGAGCGTACTACTTGCTACAGGAAGCGCAGATCCATATGCATATCTCTACAATGTGGGCGAGGTAAGCATAGAAAATAATTTTTTCGTGTATGCAAATTATTCAGAAGAGACTACTAATTTTTCAATTATACTGCTACTACGGTTATAGGATAGCGCAGAATTAATGCAACGACTTGAAGGCCACACTGATCGAGTGTATGCTGTCAATTTCCATCCAACTGAGCCGATTCTTGCGAGCGGTTCTGCCGACTTTACAGTCAAAGTCTGGGGACCCACTCTGTCACGAGGGAAAAAGAAAACGATTGTTTAAACAAGCCTGTATACGGCTTTTTTGTATATCATCATTTACTGTTTAATTGCCTAAAAAGCTTGTACTGTACATACAAAGAAGAAAATCAGCAACCATTTATAACAGCAACAACACAAATTTATTTATTTTTTTCTGGACTTCCGGATTATCAATTTAACGGTCGCTTTCCCCACCCCCCTTCTTTCCTTTCTTTCTAAATTTTATCTTTTCATCATGTCCTCTTCACGCCGAAGCACGGTGTTAAGCTCGTCACCGTGGTTTGGATCAAGCCAGTCTACTCGCTCCAATCGCCGCGTCACCTTGAATGATAGTAACGACGACCAAACAGCTCACAATGTACAAGAAGAACGGCCGAGTTACGGCACCAACGTCATATCATCTGCGTCAGCTGCACCAAGCGTTCTGTCCACGTATTCTTTGCTACCACCATCACCAACAATCACGTCAGACTGGCTGAAAACAGAGTCCGGTAGAACTCCTTTATTGGACGCACCTTTATACCATCCTTCGCCACCAACAGTGTCAACAATTAATGATGATTGGCAAGCGGCCTCATCCAGCAGATCAACTGACACTCCCTTAGTCAAGCGACGACACAGCAAAAAAAAGTATAATATCATACCATTCTCCTCAGCCTCAACTCCACCAGATCCACAGGATCCGGTGTCGTTGTCACAGCTTGTCGCGCCGCCTACAGCTGGCAGTAGTGATTACAAGAGGTGCCAGCAAAATCATACGCGTAGTCATCTCGTCGAGTCGATGGGAAGAACAGCTCACGACCCCGTGTCATCGTCTCAAGTGCTTACGCAGCAACGAGAGCAGTTTGCATCTCAACTGTCTCAATCACGCCCTCGCAGTAACGCTCCCACAACGACAAGGCCGCGGTCGGAATTAGCAGCACGTCCAACAACAGCTGGTGGACATCGAGATCATCGAATTATGGCGTTAGCTGAAGGACGAGGTGTTGCAGCAGAAGTTGGTGTATGCATTATTCATGCTACAACAGGCGAATGTATTCTATCTCAGGTACCTTTACAGCTCATTGATATCTGTTTATCTCAAGATGACACGAACATGTTAAAGTAAAGACATTCATATTTGAATTGGTCTCGGTAAATACAGGTCCCTGACTCTCAGTCGTATGCACGCACTCTACACAAGATCCACTTGAATGATCCACATAAGGTAAGAGTAAAACAAATGTTCTGGTGGAAAGGAGGCTATGGTTTTCTTCTCAACGTATAATAATATGCCTTAAATAAAACAAAACCAGATTCTGATGGCGAATACTGCACTGGAAGCTGGAGCAAGCCAGCTCTACCAACTAATAGAACATCACATTCCGGATACATCAATCATAGCTGTTCCTCGAAAATATTTCAACAATGATTCTGGTAGCGATAAGACAAAACTAACAACACCATAGATCAGGATTTTGATGACTAATTGCTTTTTCTTGTTGCTAATTATCCATTATTAGGTATGAAGGCTATCCAGGACTTTGGCTTACTGGAAGATGCTGCAGCTTTGCTTCTCGGATTGTCATCCAAGTATGTATGAGTTCTCAGCTCCATGCTGTCATACGCGTTTACATTATGAGGATAGTGCTAATAATTACTTAACATAGATATTATTGCCTTGCTGCAGTGGCAGCTGCATTTCGGTAGACGCTTCTCCTATCATGATGATTTACGGGCGTGAGATTACTAAATCACAAAGCACTCATTTACTGCTATAATTACTATAACAGATATGTCTCTGAACATGAAGGGATAAGCTTTGTGGATCACACTGTAAAGTTTTCTTTTCAAGGTGTAGAAGGTAGTGACATACGTTCAAGTCATTAAACACAGAGGAGGAGAGTCCACATTTCTTTTATTAATTATCATATACTAATGTATGATAATAAATCTAGGAACAATGCTCATCGGTAAGTATGTTGACGAAAAACCATGAAAAACAAGAAACGGTTGAATTCAGCATGGAAACTCACGATTATGTGCATTTATCAAATCGTTTTATCGATGTACCATTGTTAGACATTGTCACTGCCAAGAACCTTGAGATCGTATCCAACACTGTCAACCGTTCTAGCAAAGATACTCTTTTCGGCGTAGTCGATCACACAGTGACACCTATGGGCGCGCGACTTTTGCGAACGAACCTTTTACAGCCAAGTACAAACGAGGATGTTATCCAAGGTCGGCTAGATGCGGTTCAGGAGCTCGTCAGCCGTGAGAGCTTCTTGTTCAATGTTCAGTCTGCTCTGAAACCTGTGACTGATTTGGATCATATCATTGCCGATATTGCCAAGATCCCAGTCAAGCAACAAGACGTCCATTACGCCGAGTGCAAGATCAACCATGTCATCCGTCTAAAGACCATGATGACCGCCCTTAAAAGTGTTGCTACAAGTCTACAGTCATGTTCGAATACTTTATTAGTCACTATTTGCGAGGTAGATATTCTCTTAAAAGCAAAGTCAAGACTTTAAAAGCATATAATTATTACTTACAGCACATCCTTTTTTCTGCTTCTTGACACATTTTATACAGATTCTCTCTGATTCAAGACTGGGTAAGTATATTGCGATAGCAAAAGGAAATTGAACAGTGTCCTTATTGATATCTCTTTTATATATCTTCCTACTTTATAGATGACTTACAAATGGCGATCTCTGAGACGTTACATGACGACGTTGGAATACAGAAAACAAGTTTGGGGTTGAGACATCAGCGATGCTATGCTGTAAAGGTATGTTATAACACGATTTTTATAAAATCACATACCTTTTCGATACACAGTTGTCACCATGCTTACTCATAGCTTTTATATAAGTCTGGTGTCAACGGTCTCTTAGATGTTGGTATGTTTCATTCAATTATGATGATTTGATGAGTCCATGCGTAACAAAATGCTTGGGTCATTTTTAGCACGTCAAACGTATAAAGAAACTATCGAGGATATCTATGAATTGGCCACAGAATATACTGGTAAAACTCTCTTCCATCTTCATTGTGTTTAGCGGTGACCAATTCGGCAAAAAATGTTAGAACGTAAGATTCACCTTTTATTTAAAACAATAGAATCAAGCGGTCTAAACATCAAGCTGCAATTCAATGCACCCAAAGGGTTCTATCTCTCGTTGCCAGCAGATCAGCTCGAAGAGAGCACGATACTGCCCCAAGTGTTTATCAACGTGGTAAAGAAGAAAAAGCAGTACACTTTTACGACTTTGGAACTGGTAGGTGGTGGACACTTTATTTGCTCTTCTACAATCATCATAGTGATGCGGGCTGTATTCTCGAATTATCATACATAAGCATTTGTCGAATTATATAGCTAATTTTTAACAGCTGCAAAAGAACAGTCGTATGAACGAGTCTTTGACCGAGGTCTACCTTATGTCCGACAAGTATGTATGCGTGATGGTTTTTCTGTGTGGGGATTTTGTTGATGTCGTTGCTTCTGACGCGTGCTCTTTTTTTTTGCCACGTGTATACATAGAACTGTGACAGACCTCCTTCAAGTATTTCGTGCCGACATTGGCGTTCTGTATAAAGTTTCAGAAGCTATTGCTATGTTGGATATGCTATTGTCATTCGGACATTGCTGCTCACTCTCGGAGTACGGTATGCCTTACAGCCTTCATTACAGTATCTTTATTTTGAGATACACTGTTTTCCAAACATCTCCATTGTCATTATACGTACCACCCACTTGATATACTATATAGCAATTGCTAATGGTATTGATCATTTACATTTTTATTATAGTTCGACCAGAGTTTACCAACACACTAGCCATCGAAGCTGGTCGCCATCCCATCATGGAAAGAATCCAGCAAGAGCCTGTCATTCCTAATGACACATATACATCCTTATCTTCCAGCTTTCAGCTCATTACTGGTCCAAATATGAGTGGAAAGTCAACATATATCAAGCAGATAGGCCTACTGACAATCATGGCACAAGCTGGTTCATTCGTTCCTGCCACATATGCATCGTTTCGTCTATGTGATCAGGTAACTTTTATATACGTACCGACAAAATTCCTACAAGTGTTCTATATTTGTGATGACTGACAATTTTTCATACCAAGATACTCTCCCGGCTTGGAAACGACGTTTATGTTGAAGTCAATACATCATCGTTTATGGCCGAAATGCGCGAAGCAGCGTATATCATTCAGAACGTGACTAATTCGAGTCTGGTGATTATCGACGAGCTTGGAAAAGGTACATAACTGAAAATTTGTAGAGTGATGGAGCTCTGCTTCTGATTGTCGGTGTCGTCAGCCACAAAAATCAGAAACTCAACTCAAATCAATCGTTTTCTTTAAGGAACTGCACCCTACGATGCTTTAGGGATTGCTGCATCTATCAGCGAATACCTCATTAAATCAAAGGTATGTTCTATGATGATAAGCAATCTCAGTATGTAACAATCACAACAACCTTGTACTCTTCTTCATTATCTCTTTGCTAGGCCTATTGCTTCTTTACCACTCATCTGCATCAGCTCACGCGGGTCCTCAGTGTGTATCCTAATGTGGTTAATCTTCAGCTTAAGGTTGATATTGTAAGTTTGTTTAAAGCTTTACTCTCCAAAGCGTATGGACGAATCTTAAGTGATTGAAAAAAAAAACAGCTCCTCATCAATAGTAAATGTCATATTCTAGCACGAGAATACAGAGAACAGAGTTTGTACCCTTTCGTACTCATACACTGTCAAGGATGGCTCTGTCGCTACTGATCAGCATTACGGTATATTAAATATAATTGCATCTTGAAATACATTGAAAGCTTTGTTACTACTAGAATTCTTAACTTGCAATAATCCCACATTAGGTCTTAAGACAGCCCAGCTCATGGGATTCCCGAAAGATATAATTGCTTGCGCCCTTGAACTGACTGCAAAGGTAAGAAAATGAGGTGAGACTGGTGTGGTCAAAGTCCTCCTCGGTCCAGTCATAAAAACATTTTTCAAACGTGTTTTGTCTAAAAAATCGTATATAGCTTGCAGCAGATACATCCGAGCAACAACAGGAATCGGACGACGCGCGTATGAAATCTGGATACTCTTCAGAAGATAGTGGCTTACACGCTAGTAGTTATCAAAACAACAACAAAGCAGGTCAAGTAGAAGTAGCAGCGGTTGCAAAAAGAGGGCAAGACAAGGATAGTGTTTCGCAAACCCCGAGTAATAGTCTAACGACGACTACCAATGCCGCCGCACATCGCAAAATTCTTTTGTGGGCAAGTATTACAAGGCAATGAAAAAGAAGGCTAAATATTGGGAAGGAGATAATGATTATAAGATCACCATTTGTAATATTCCCCCCACCCCTGCTATATAATATTAGTTTGCGGACAAGATGATCCAAAATCAAGGCGCACCGGATGATATATGGAACAGCCAACTGCATGATATTAAAGATGTGCTTCGTCACCATCTTTTCGGTATTCGGCAATCAACAACAGCCACTGTTGCTGAAGCCACCATGGACAATGCTAATAATGGAGACATGTAGCCTATGACTTATATTACAGCTCTAAGAAATAATAATAATATTGATGTTGTTTCACTCTTAAAACTCAATTTTACTGCCGTTTTTGCCCTGAATGACATACTAAGACACTATTACATAGTACAGCAACTGTGACAGAAGGAAAAAATGCAGACAATAGGGAGGATTGTATGATAGTTGTAGTCGAATGTAACTTGTCCGATTATTGTGTATGTATATGAAGCTCGTCAGCTCATATGTGCTGTATCACATGAATGCAGTGCTGATTGCTGAGTGTACAAGTAATCTGACAGCACTCAGGGACGCGTCGTCGCGTGCGGACATTTTTACTACACTTCCTTCTTTGACGCGTTATACTGACAACAAACAAGGAGAGTCAGGAAATGGAAAAAGTCGCGAAACGCTTAGGAGTATACTCCAAACTGGAGAAAGGTAAAAACATAATGTCGGTCCATTTGTTTGCTAATTTACTTGACGTTTATAAAACTCTTAATACATATCGACGTGGTAGTGGGACTTGAATCGCCAAACGATGTGTTAATGAAAACAGTCGGTGATCTACAAAGAATTTTAAATACTGGTGAAGCCGAGATCCTCGAACTGTTTCAAGCTGCTGCAGCCGAAGTATATCCTTGGAGGGAGCGACGCGAACTAGTAGTGCTCTCAACTGCCAACACCAATAATAGTCATATAACCGAGACCATTACCACGGGCGATCAAGTTATTGATCGCATACTTGGAAGCGGGCTTCCCTTGGGTTCTGTAACTGAAGTTGTTGGAGAGAGGTGCGTATTTTTGCCTTCGCTATCCCACCTGTCAATGTACAGGACGATGCAATTGCTACTCGCCCTTTTGCTGATTCCAGGTTACATATAAAATTTACATGCAGCTCGTCAGGAAAAACACAACTATGCCTTCAGCTCTGTTTATCCGCACAAAAGCCTGACGCTTCTATACACGGAGGTGAGCTATCTTTTTGTCCTAGCACTCTTTGTCTCTCTGTGGCATTGGCTAAGGAAATATTTTCTTCTATAAGGATGTAGCAGTTGTTAATGCACCATTCTATTTAAAAACATACAGCTTCAGTCTATCTCCACAGCGAAGGCCATTTTCCGGCCGTTCGACTGAGTCAAATAGCACAAGCATATGGTCAACAGTACAACCTCAATCCCGACATAATGAAACGCTCCATTCACACCATGCATCTTCCTGACCGAGAAACACAATATCGTGTGTTAAGCTACCAGCTACCTGTATTACTATCACGACACAAGAATATCAAGCTTGTGGTAATCGATTCAATCAGCGCACCTTATCGTGGCGACAATAGCAGCGGCGGAGAAAGATTCGAACGCATGAATGAAATTTGCGAGGTTGGATCGAGGTTAAAACGGATAGCACACGAGTATAAGATTGCGGTGGTCGTAATCAACCAAGTCTCTGATACGTTTGTGGCTGCGACCAATCACAACAACAACAACAACAATAGTAACAATAGTAACAGCAGCAGCAGCAATGCCAATAGCAATGATCCACACGAGGAGCTTTTGGCACTTTGGATGGACTTCAAATTGGAAGGGTTCAAGAGATCGCCAATCAATATGTTTTGGCCATCGCTGACCAAAAAACCAGTACTGGGCAAGTCGTGGGCAACGTCAGTGACTACACGAATTCGGCTGGCACGATCCATTATGACAGATATTGCACCGACACGTAGAGCATTGTTTGTTGAATTTTCACCTTTAGCCTCTCGATCTGGTTGTGAAATTGTTATTGACGACGGCGGTGTACGATCAAGACTGTCGTAGCACATATGTACATTATATTTCACATGACTAGGATACATCCGAGGCATGAGCGAGCTACTATCACATTCTGTATATGGATCTGAAGCTCTTAAGCTCGTCATAACAGCGTGCATAATTTGTACAGTTGGCCCTTTTTAATATACCAAAAAAATCGACCAATTCCTGAAATAAATGTCCAGTTGTTCAGGGAATTCATGATAAAGGGCACTCTGCATCTAAGTCAGGTTGCCTCACCGTCTGTAGAATTACATAATCAGTCCCATTCATATGTACTGGCGATACAATTACTTATTAGACCGTACACACATACACCTTCGGAGAGGAAGCAATTGATGATACCTGGTATTTTGAAATTGTCATTTCTTGACCTCACTTTCTCTTTGTATGTACAAACGTGGAGCTCAGGGTTCGCATCCTGTAACATACGTATGTTTAACATAAGCTCAAACAATATCAACAAGTAATTATCATTATGTATGTTTTTCAAGTGATTCGCTAGAATACATTTGTAGTATCTTGTGACTTTTATCAAAATCAAAAATATCTCTATAACATTCTTTCATGCGTAAAAAAGCTGGTAAATACACAGCGGAAAGTATATAGCACTTGTCAATCCTGTCTATCGTCATCTGGTACAGTGAAAGTTTCTACTTTGTATCACTTAAAAGAAGTTCCAACATATACTTTGTCAGCTGATGCAAATCCTTCATATAGCCCACAGCATACTTGTCCTAATTACACGCTTCTAGAATCTTTGACAAAGATTGAACTCTGTATTTATAGCACCAACAAGTGAGCTGGATAAAAAAGGAATTTGTCCGTCAGAATTCGTCATCCACAGCCAGCCGCAAAATCCACTTTTATGGAAGTGGGCAACAACAATGAGCGGATGTTCTTTGGCACTACTACTCGTAGATAGGCCTAAGATAGTGGAATGCTATAAACAAACAAACATACATACATACATACATTCGTTCACAGAAAAAAGCTACGGATTTGCCGCGTAGTGAACTCGATCTGTCAAAGAAGGGAAAGGAGGCTGGGTCTGTTTACAGCAACTCGGGGAACCTCCATCTATTTGTGGCAACGAACAAAAAACCATGAGAAACCGAGCCAACGGGCTGTGTTTTCTTGTTTCGGAAATGGAGAAGGGCTTTGGTTACCTGAAGCTCAATGCAGTTTTCCCTTTCTTCTGCTTACCTTGTCTGCTCCAGCAACAAGTGTGGGGCTTTAGTCGAGATAAAGCTCGCTCTACCTAGTACTACAAAGAGGTAGTAGTAGCAAGATTATACATGAAACCCAAAAATCACGGCAATGTTATTCCGATCCGACGAGTCGATGAGAGAGAGAGGGGTTGGTGGAGAGACAAAATATATTTTTAGCTCTGTTTTTGTTAGCAGCATCAGGCAAGGCGGCTTCATAAAATAAATCACCCCACTCAATAGCTTCCTATTTTCTCTGGCCATTATATCGTAACACATATTATATATAGAGGGCTGTGCCTCCTTTGTCGTATTCGCTTTTCATAACACCTCTACATTCTCTCGTTACATACCCAAACAATCGCACACCTTCAACAACCATGAAATCGCTCGCCTGGCTTTCGACGGTTGCGCTGGTGTCAGCACTAGGCACATGTAGTGTCCAGGCACAAAAAGAAGACCGTCGGGATTACTCTCCATTCTACTGGTCTCAATCGCAACAATTCCTGTCACCTTATGCAACCTCGGGCAAAATGGAACAGATTGGCCGTACAGGTGTTGCTGCCATGCACGCGGTCTTACTAAAGTAAGAAGGATTCTTTATATGTCTTGGAATCCAGAAGTTGAACAACAAGCAGCACTGACACCTCGTTCTTCCATAACTTTTATATAAAGCGAGAAAAAGATACTTGTCATTGACAAAGGTTCGATTACCAAAAAAAGACCTTAGAAACAATAACATGCGCGCATTGTATTGACGAAGAATATACACTTTTCAATTATTATGCTACAAACAAACACTAGCCGAGTGGAATGAAGCACAGTTTGATTCGGGCCAAAGTGCATTCTCAGTGGAATACGACCTTGATACGGACGAATATCGACTGTTGCCTTTGGAAACAAACACATTCTGCTCTGGCGGCGGTTTCCTTGGTAACGGCACATTTATCAGCACCGGCGGCGGTGAGCGTGTCGGTCGTACATGGAAGGCTGCACCTGGTTGGCAATCTATCCGTCACTACAACCCATGCGACGACGGTTCTTGCGAGTGGAACGAATACACCACCGGCAAGATGGTTGAAAATCGTTGGTATCCCACTGTCGAGCAGCTACCCGAAGGTGATCTTTTCATCATTGGCGGATCGATCAAGGGCGCAGCTGTAAACCGGGATGAAATTAATGTACCGTCATACGAGTTTTGGCCACCTCGCCCTGAAGGCATTGTCAATATGCCGTTCCTGAACGAAACCATGCCTTATAACTTGTAAGGAGATATCATCTATCTGTTACTCGTGTGTTTGATACTACATATGGCTTTGCTAGCTCATTGCCGATGCATTTGATATTAAAAAAGTTGTGCTCAATAGGTACCCCTTTGTCTTTGTTTTACCCGACGGAAACTTGTTTGTTTTCGCCAACAAGCAATCCATCATCTTTGACTACAAAAATAACAAAGTTGTCAAACGGCTGCCCGATATCCCTGGCATGCCACGCTCCTATCCATTGACTGGCGGTGCGCTCATGCTCCCTCTAGATCCAGCCAACAACTACAACGTCGAAATCCTCATTTGCGGAGGATCTGAGAAGATGAAGAACAATGCTGCTGCTGACGACACCTGTGGTCGTATCAATTTGGGCGACGAAGATCCGCAGTGGGAGATGGATACATTTGTACATAAGCGTCTTATGCCTGACGGTGTCTTCCTTCCTGATGGTACGATCTTCTGGGTGAACGGCTGTCAACGCGGCTGGGCAGGCTACAACGGTCGAAACCATGACCCTACTTTTGATCCTCTTATCTACAACCCTGATAAAAAGATCGGCGATCGATGGACCACCGGATTAGCCGATACAAACATTGCCCGCATGTACCACTCGGTAGCGCTAACGCTTCCAGACGGTCGAGTATGGATTGCTGGCTCAAATAACGTGTCGCCACCAGATGTTCTTGCAGAATACCCCACCGAATTCCGCGTCGAGTATTTCTCGCCACCCTACCTTTTCAAATCGGCTACTCGACCTTTGATCTCGCACGTTCCTCGTATTGTGACCTATGACCAATCATTCGACGTTTTGGTCAACTTGGGCGAGCTTGCTCAATCTGGAAGTGACCCTGAAATCAAGGTTGCCTTGTTACGTCCCGGATTCAGCACGCATTCAATGCACATGTCCCAACGCTATGTTGTATTGAAGCACACTGTAGATGCAGACCTTCAAACTGTCACCGTCGAATCTCCTCCCAACGCTAACATCTTCCCTCCTGGATCAGGCTTCTTGTTCGTTCTTTGCAATGGCATTCCTTCAAAGGGTGCTGAGTTGTTTGTTGAACATGATGTCAATGACCTTCAGATATAAAGCTTACATATTTCCCTTGTACCTTCTACTACCACCAAAAATCCATCACAATATCTCTCTTCCCCTCATCTCTTCTTGCCCTTCGATTTCTTTGATTGAGACTTACACCCACATATATATATGTAGCATCCTGTACTCTACTTTTCATTTTCTTTTTGCTTTTTCTACAATAACCTGCTTTTTAAATATATTCAATGCTGCTTTTATATATAAAACAACGTGTCGATAAATTGATAACGACATAGTTCTTTTTATTTAAAACATCTTTTGCATACTATAGCAAGGGATGTAAAGTACATACAGCCGGTCTCAAGGTTGTGCTTGTGCCTCGGGTCTAATCACGTGATATGTCAGTTCATCAGCATTTTGTGTTTATGTACAAACACCAAGTAACCAAAGCACCAGTCTCTTCACTAAATTCATATACTTATGTACAATCTATGTTGATTTAGGTTGTTGTGAAAGAAAGACCTGCTCGTTAATGCGTCGGCCCTTCAATCATTATCTGTGGTTTCTACCAGCTGATGCTATCAAGAAGAGTATCGTATCGATGAAGGAATCAATCCGGCTAATGGTGCATCAATATCATGCTCGTTGCCCTTTTTAGACCTTTTACAGTACCACATACATAACCAGCGAGTAAAACATCACAACTGCATAGTCAATTCGAACTGTCAGATGTGATACTGTATTGTCAAGTCTGTTTATTCACAACGTCACTTTTATCAATATTGAGAGTTTTGCCACATATTTTGCAATCTTCCCTAGTCAAGCTAAAGCTAAATTGCTTCATCAGCTCACAAAAGCGGTTGGAGGTAGGCTGCTGTAGCAGTAATAAGTAGATGATGATAAGCATCGTTAGCTCATCTATTTTCACCTTGACTTTGTATGACCGCAGAAAGAAGCGTCCATGCCACTGATTTTATAATTTCTTCTTATTTTATTGCATATTTATTGCATTTTTGTAGAATGAGTTGATTTAGTAATGGAAAGAAGAATGATGTACTGTAGTATATCTGTGGTCAACGGCCGAGTCCATCCCTCGTCTTCAGTAGCGTAACACAAACGAACAAAAAATTGGATAGAATGTGAGGAAGCAGCGGAACGAAGCGAGATTTTTGGCGAAAGCCAAACGATTTTTTTTGAATGCTATTTAGCTCGTTTTTATAGCATATGCAAAATAAGCGAACCGCACTATGTAGATATAAAACTCTCCTTCTTGTCTCTTTCTCCTTACCAAAGGTTTTTTTTGCCCTATATGATTGACCTGTTCTCCTTGGGTTTAGCAAACAACAGTGACCGGAAAGATGGTATTATACATTTATGGCAAATTTCAATGGTATATGGGGGAGTGTAACATCATCACTATCTCCTTTCTCATGTAACTGCGATACAAGCACAGTACAGCAAGTGAGTATGTACTAAATACTTTGCATTATTGATACATATGGAAATGCACTATGACTATGATGGTCCATGTGCTAGGACTGCTCGTGTGTCACTGTGTATCACTGCAGTTGGCACCATCACCTTGTAGTTGAGAGTCACACACACGCACAGTGGCCGCATCATGAATTAAAGATAAATTGATGTCTTTTTTCCCTGAGTTCGTAATGTGTTACATAAAACGGCTTTTAGCCACGTTTCGGCCGAAAAAACTCGTGGTGCAATGACTTTAATCAGGAAGAACTAGAAAAAGAAAGTACAACAAATAAAAAAATAATAGTACATGAACACTGAATACTCGCTACTTTATTTTTTCGAAAGAAGATGTCGTGTGCTGTGTGTGTGTGTGTAGTTTGCTTGTATTTTCGGGTCGTTAAATATGTGATCGTGGACAGAGCGTTGTGAAAAGAACAAAAAGAGAAGGATAGGGGCGTGTGTGTTTTTTGCGAAAGAGAAAAAAACCGTTTTTTAATAGCGAAGATCAATCTCATGCATGGGTCCAGCAGGACGTTCATGGACTACAGCCAAAGATGGTGGTTGGGACGCGGCCGAGCGCGACGATGAGTTGGAAGGATGCCGGCCTAATGTGGCGCTAGGATCTTCTATGGCACCTTGTCCAGCGCCTACTGCCATGCCCTGAAAAAGACAAAGCCAGAAACAATGAGCAGCGATAATATTAGTGATTCCATTCATTCGATGAAAGAGAAAGGAAAATGGTCGGTAAATAAGCGGAGAAAGAGGAAGACAAACATACTGCTGCTGTATCTCGCTTGGAACGATTACTTCGCAAGGATGCTGAGCGCGGCAGCTTGGCTACGACCGAAGCGACTACACCCATGAAACTCTGTGGGCGCCAGTGTGTGTCGACGTTGGGATCATCCATCGCAGAAGATGAGGATGATGATGACTGACTATCGCGTCTGCGCTTGTTGGCAACAAGCAATCCAGCAAGACCAATGGCGGCAACACAACCAATGCCGACACCAAGGCCAATGCCCAAGGCCTTATTGCTGACATTGCCCTCGACAGCTTGGGTCTCGCTACGTACATTTGGATCAGAGGCGGCACCCGAGTCTTCAGAGGGCGCACCATCCTGGTGATCGTTAGGACCGCCAAGGATGCTGTCGTCAGAGTCGCTAGCATCATCGCTGCCATCTGTCGTTGTTGTATCATCGTCAGCAGCAGCAGTAGAAGAGCCATCTTCAGAGTTGCTGCTGTTTTCGGTATCGTTGGTAGCAGATGAGGAGCTGTCGTCGGTATCAGTATTAGTATTGTCGGAAGAAGGGGAATCGCCACTGCTATTTGAGTCGCTTGCCAAGGAGGAGCCATTGTTATCGCCGCCAGTGGCAGGTGCATTAGGGTCTTCAACGCTGCCAGTAGGGGACGACGAGGTCGAACCGGATTCTGTGAAAGCAGAAACATCAGAATTTTCGTCATCAGAAGATTCGTTTTTAGTGTCGCTACCATCGTTGCTGCTACTGCCATCTGAAGATGATGAACCGTCGTTGTTTTCGTCGTTCGAGGATGAGGAAGCAGTGGTTGGGGTTGCCTTGCTGGTCTGGGTAACAGTGACACGTTTGTTTTGACGAGTTGCTGTTGCTTTGGCGGATGGAACAGCCGTGGGCATGCACTTTACTTGTTCATTGGTAACAGCGTTGCCTTTGTCACCATTGGCAGGAACCTCGACAATTACTTTCGTGGTGCATTGGAAAATAGTGATTTGTTCGTCGTCGTCGTCGTTTGATTTTTTTTCGTCTCGTGCGTAAAAGCGGAAAGTGGCAGCTGGGGTGGGCGTAGGTGCGGCCACTGTAGATATTTGCGTCGTTGGTGATTGTTGTTGTTTGAGCGAGTTATTACAGAACAAAGAAATGCGGTGATGGTATATGTGCGTAAATACGGTGTGCGATTTCGCTATAAATGCTCTATTAAAGATGAAGTAACTAGAAAGCAAAATACATACATGGTTGATCTTTTCTTTCTAGATCAGCAGCTGCTGTATGTGTGATTGGAATAGTGACAATGGTGATATGAGTTAACTGTTTGCAAACAGGGCATGTAGACGTTGATGTGGATACTGCAAAATGCGTAAGAAGCAACTAACCGAGCGAGACTCGAGCGACAAGCACAAATAGCAACAGAAATAAGGACTGACTCGATAGGCGCATCAAAAAAACGCATCAAAAAAGGAACGGGCAGGGAAGGGAAGGGGGGGTTTTTGGTGCGAGAAGAAAAGAAGGGAAAGAGAGAAGAGGCGAGGAGGAGAAGAAGAAGAGGTGTGTGTGTGTTCGTCTGTGTGAGATTAAGCTCCTCGAGAAAATAGGACGGAACACAATATAAAATGTGATGGTTTGCAACAAAAGGGAGGGCTGGGTTGGGGGGTGGGGAGGGGTGGTAGCAGTAGCAGTAGCAGTAATAGTGATAAGTTAGTGGGGAGGAGGTCGAAAAAGGCTCTAATAAATATATTGCGCAACATGCTAAATACCGTCTTTTACTCTGTGCAACATTCATTGCTTTGGGTTCCCCTCGTTCTACGATAACAATGTACCTGTTCTCTTTGTTGTCGTCGCTAATTTGCATACTACTGCCGTTGGCACCTTGCTATATTTAGCTGAATTGGACTGGCGTCATCTTGTGCTGTTTGACCAACTAATTTCTGCTTCTTCCGCTTCCTCTCTCTATCCATATACCGTTTGAGCTTTCAAACAAGCATATAGCCGCAACTGAGTACGGTGCAGTGTAACTATTTCTGCTTGTTTTTTTTTGGTTCCTCGCACCTCGTGTGACCCTCTAGTTTAATTGAGATTTTGGTGTTGTGGCACCCTGCGGTCTGAAATGTGCGTTTTCACACACCGCTTTATGAAGACAGCTCTTTTTTGGATCCAGGTATTGTTCTTATTTATTTTCGATTTAATCGAGATAAAAGGGAGACAGACTGAAAGACTACCAAAGTGAGATCCAGCTCGTTGAACGTCTAGTATTTTGTTTACGATGGCGTCGGCGGCGTCTTTCCGGATGACGGTGATAGGGCCTGTCTGTGATCGATGGGGAGGGCTCGCTGGTGGTAGTAGTAGTAGTAGTAGTAGTAGTCGCGGTAGTAGCGGAAGCAGCAACAGTGATGGTAGTTGTGGTAACCGCTTGGGCCGTGGCGGTCGTTTTGGTGATAGGAGTTTCGGTCTCAGTTGCTGCCGTCGTCACCTTTGTACTTGTTGTGGTACTGCCGGTCGTGGAAGTAGCCGCCTTGGAAGTTGTAGTTGTTGATGACGAGCCAGCGTCGATCCCTTGGTTAGGGTTCGTTTCTCCAGGAGTATAGATCCCAGCACAGTATGAATCATCAACGGTAGACCAGGATGCAGGCGAAGCATCATATCTTTGGTCAAAGAGATACTCAAATGCCGGGATGCTCAACTATAATAGTGGTAATGATAGCAATAATTGAGCCACTTTTTCTTGCGTTGTAGATATAAGATAAGGTCTTGGAGTCCCATTACTACTGTATTATACTTACATCCAAGCCTGATCCACCGAGATCCACGGCAAGGACATAGATACTGCGCGATTGATCTTGATTGGTGACATTCAGACACAAATTACAAGTAAAAGCTGTATCCATGGCTTCCACCGCGGTAATCAGAGCCAAATTGAGCTGAGCATAGGGCATTCCACATGCTGGAGGGTTGTTTTCAAGCGCATTGACCGCTAAGTAGTGATAATAATTATAGACATGGTACGTCAGTATACACACATTGTTTGTAACGCTCCTTTCCGTTGACCAGCATTATCACCAAGCATATGTAGCCATGATACGTAAAGAGAGCACTTACGCAATCCGTAATAGTCTTGTGGGGTGATGGTTGCGCTGCCTGACAAAGAGGCAGCAGTGGCGCACAGCGCCATCATCATTGTCGTTTGCAGTAAACAAAGGACGACGTTGACCATTGTTCTTTCAAGACAAAAAGTATAAGGAGCGGAAGGGGTGATGAAGGAAAGCGCGTTTTGCTTGCTCAGTTGTTGACAATGGTATGAGCTCCAACGGGTTCTACCCTTGGCCTTTTTATATTAAACGAACCTCGTTAAGACATCCCGAAAATTTTCGATAATTTGGCCAATTATTGAACGAAGATCTATGTGGTGTTTATGAAGAGATAGTAAGGGAGAGAATGAAAGAGGAGGATCAATTAAACGAACTGATTTGATGGCGAACAAAGATTGTCATGTCACATTTATATTACAACGATAATTATAATCGGCGTCAAGATGAATGGTGGTACGACATAGCCAGATGTGAGTACAAAATGTCAATGGTAGAATATATATCCATAGGGCTACTATGTAGCAGCAGGTGTATGATATGTACGATTAAGAACGACGCTGCTGGAACATATACCATTATATGACAAGTTAATGACATGGGATGGTCAATGCTTTACTGGCCGCGGAAGTCAAAAGTAAGACAGGCCCAGATCCTTTCTTCACGTTTCCGCGTCTTAAATTTGATTTACATTTGAAGTCCCTTTCAGGTCCAACAGTCTTTCTATTGTTTCATTACTACTCAGTTAGCAGCAAGCACAGACAGTTAGTAGAGAAGGGTATATCTAGTATTCCCAGAGATTTTTAGGTAGGTAAAAAGAAAAGAAGGTATGTATAGAAGAATATGTATACTGTGTAGAGGATCGTAGTTAAAATAAAAGGCTAGTAGCTATGCGTGAGTTTGGTTCATCTTTGACAAGACTGTTGCCTTTGAGTTGATATGCATTTCCCGGGTGCCTTATTTAGTACTTGTAGGAAAAACCCAGAAGAGAAGAGGTTGTTTGACAGGGTAGTACTCGGGGGGTGGGTAAAAGAAGAAAAAGAAAAAGGAGGCTATCTTTTCGGGGGTTTCTGTAAATGGGATGGAATGGGATAGGATGGGGGAATTGAATGAACGTATATAATATGAGAACATGTTGCTGCTATGGTGGTATTTTTTTTAGTTGGAAATGATCTTCTTGTTGCTATTGCTTAAAACAGTCCACAGCAGGATGACGACTGCACAGGTGGATCCTCGACATGGATAGGTGGCTGTTTCTTTTTGTTGGGTGGCATGCTGTATTGCTTACGATCCACCAAAACCCTAGTCAAATCTAAAAAGATCTCTTCGATCGTGCCTAAGACATATCTTCAGCAACGCCGAAGTCATACCTCCAGAGTACACTCTCCTTGCATGAGTAGATCTCCAAACTTACCATCATCCTCTTTTGCCGAGACTTCAAATAGCGGGGTCTCAGGGCCAAGTACGCGCGTGACATATTCCCGTGCCTGATCCTCTGGAACTTCTCGCCGCGATGCAAGATCAGATTTGTTCGCCACCACCACAATCACAAGTTCCTCTGTCATGTTCCTCTTTAACTCTACAGATAAGGTATAACATTGTTTTGTTTGTCATCGGCGACGTCGTAGAGTGTCCTCCCTTTCCTTCAACCGGCGGAAATGTTCGCATGAATATAGGCTTACCTTCAATCCATGAGTGTAATTCTGCAAAGCTCTCTTGCGAAGTCATGTCATACACCAAAAGGGCTGCTTGAGCGCCACGATAATACATAGGAGCCATCGCACGGAATCGCTCTAGGTTTGATAGCACAACCTCTTGTTATTAACAACCTCCCACCCACATTACAGATAAGTAACCTCACGCATACTCTCGTTCTCCACAGCAAACTTACCCTGACCTGCTGTATCCCAGATTTGTAACCGTACCTTACAATTGTCTACTGTGCTGTGCAAAACATGTAACCCCTCTTGATTAATTCAACTTTCTCTCTATGTTTTCCCATTCGCACCCATTCTCCTTAACCCACAACCACCACATTCACACACAAACACACTACATAAAGAAAGGTCATTTATATCACTCTTAAACCTACAGCTTTTTTGTCATGAAAGAAGCACCAATGGTCGAAGTTGAGTTGGGCGAAAAGGTTTTGGAAATGTAGCGAACAACCAAGGAAGTCTTTCCAACACCTAGTAGTAGTAGTGGTAATTTTTTATGTATGTTTCCAGGATGGCAATGATAGCAATTTCATTATATTCGTTCAAAGTATAATAGCTATATTAATAAACAAAAGAATTTCTGTGCTAAATTAAATGAACAAAGAAACAAACCTTGGCTTCCAAGAATTACAACCTTCGCCTCAAGTGTTGATGCCCATGATCCATACATTCTAGGATTTATGGTAAGCAATATGAGAAATAAATTTGTGTATGGAAGAAAAAGGACCCAAGATAGATAGATAGATAGGGTGAGGGAGAAAGGAAAAGGTAAAAGGAAGAAGAAAAAAGCGTGAGCAAGGGCGAAAAGAGGGAAAAAATGGAAGAGAGGCACGCCGTTTAGGTCAGCAATGCATTATAGTATAAAGCAGAACGTCCGCGCCTTGATCTTTTCTGCTGTGTATGTGTAAAAACAAGCGCCGTCTTGCTATGTGCTGGACGAAAGGGTGGCAATACACTTTGAATATATCATATGCACTCGACTTCTCTTCCTCTGTGGTGGTCAACAACCCCTCTTCCCAACGGTAACCCCTTCCATTCTAACACTGCGCTCCGTGTTACATATACGACAGCCCTTTTTGTTTGATGACAGGCCTGTTCTACCACCAGATGATAACAGAGCGCGGACACCATGGCCAAGCAGTGCCTGTGAACCATTTGTATATAAAATACATACGCTTTTAAAAGAAAGACATGTTAAGCCCTACTTAATCCATAGATGCGATACATTCCTGTCAGACGCCACCCATTATGCTTATCACCCGCGAAATAAGACTAGATAGATATGTCATTGTGTGGCGTTCGATCGGGTTAATTCGGCTGATACATAAGAAAATTTGTCTGGGCATATGCTGGAGCTTGTCTTTACCAAAACAATACGGTTTCTTTGTAATATGAGACTTGGCCATAATACCATCGTTAACATGACTTGACATGGGTCGCAGAAATGGGTTGGCGATACAGTAGATCCAAACATGAAATAAATTACATGCAACACTATCACTATCTTGCTGATATGTCCCCTATAATGCTACGTTCATCCATTTCTTGCAATTTTGTTACAGAAACCTACAGTTTTGAGTGAAGAAGCTGTGAGCCTTTTATTCCAACTTTGGTAGAAAAACCCTTTCTCAATATTATCTGCGGAACAAGCAGATATGTTCCCTGAATCGAGAGCTATTATCCAATGTTTCACGATGCCAACCTGGCTGCAGTGATTGATCGACTACACAGTAACATATCTTATCTATTACTGTGCATCATGTTTACCCTCAATGAATTTAGAGACTGAAAAGATAACCATCTAGTCTAGCGCCACCATTTGATGTATAATCACTTCGGTAGTACTTTGTGCGCTTTTTATGTAATGCTCAAAAAGAGATTCAGAACGCAGCGACGAGGAACTCGAGTGTTGCGGCGTCTTGACAACATGAATTTGTGGCGCGACTTTGAATGAAAGCGTTCTTGGGCTAACATCCAGTAGCAACATTTAATTAACGTATGAATGGACAACCCCTTACCTGACGCATCACCATACCTCTCTTTCTTCCCTTTCATTATTCAAGCAACACTGACATCTTCTTTCTCAAATGTATAATGGCGATGTCGTTTACTTTAGACACATGGAAATGGGTATATATAGCGATAGACGTTATTATCACGCCTGAAGAGGCGTTGCATCATAGAGAAATTTGGACTAGTGAACTTTTTTGTAACCTTTATTTCACCCGTCATATTGAGTAGCGTAGCGTTTTTGACAGAAGAAAGTAGGTTGCGGAGGTTACAGAAGCAAGCTTGGATAAGTTAGGCTGCTATATTGCATATTAGTAACTACTTTGCTTACTGTTTGTCACCAATGTGGCTGCACGGTTGGTTGTGTGAAGGGTGATAGTAGAAGTTTAGTGCATCGAAACGAGATGAAAAGCAATGTGCAAGTAGCAATCGATCGCTTCGATAAGAATAATTTAAGGGATTTGCACGCTCATGTACCAAGCCGAGCTTGAAGTTTCCGAGTATCACGTAGTCATAGCAATATCACAAGCACTCGTCATAACAGATACCATCAATAATATGTAGGCGAACTACGAACTGTGTGTTTCAAATTACCTATTAATGCAATGTAGGACTACTGGGGGATAACTAGATTCAATTACACCAACTTGGCAGTCACTACTTAGACTGATTATTCTTCCTGGGAGGCGAAAAGCGAGTCCGGCTATATCGATAACTGAAAACTCATATTTAAGATACTTCTGCAAACTACAATTGTCTAGTTTTAATGGTAGGCAAAAAGAATTAAAGAAAGATTTTGTAAATGTTACTCACCCATGCGGTTAGAAACTTTTCAATAGTGAGGAGACAACTTGCGTGATTTCTAAGTATGATTGACAAAGCAACGAACACGAGCATGGATTATTAGTAAGTCACGTCGGTCTGCACAAGCTTCATCTTTTATAACTGGCTTAGCGGCCACCTGGTCACTCTGCTTTTCTTTTATAACCAGCATAAAGTGGCAACCTGGCCACTCTGTTCGTCTTTTATAACTGATTTAAAGTGGCCAGGTTATCTGCGCCATTACCTGGGAGTTGCTTGTGTTTGGATTCAAGCTTTTGGATAACTCCCCTTGCAAATTCGATAATTTTATTCATACAAATATACTTGTCTAACTTCTTCCTTTTTATTATTATCACAGCCGATAACGAAAGTCAAGAGCCTCGTCACCAATTCTCCTAATAATTGGCTGCTGTTCTTCTTCCTGCTGCTGAGGTTCAGCATTACCAAGACCTTCTCCTTCTTCTCCAGCTTCCATTTCTTTGCAGATCCTTTCACGAATACGATTTTTGCGTTGTAAAAGAAGTCGCTGGACCAGAGCCAACATAATAAACACGCAAAGGAATGACAGACTGATAGAGTGACCACGTACTACGATGTGTTATACAAGAAAGCATTTTAACCTTAATCGCCACCCAGATATAGTTATTCCGCAAAAGAAAACACTACTAACAGTATCGAGGTGCATCTGATCTTCGGTAAATATTTGAGCCTAGGAGTCCTTTATTGACAATAAACGAGTCAGCAGCAGGCCTTTTTCTATTTCTGCACATCTTGACAATATATAATCAATATATTTTAGAACTGACCTGCAGAATTATTGGCCGAAACAGCCATTGCTGCAGCGACACTTCGCTTCATCTCAGGAGCAATATTGTTTGTTAACCATGCATTGACAATTGGGTTGATAACAAATATGCCAGTGACAGCAACAAACATGGACGCATAAAGGCCCCTTTGATCCGTCAGCATGAGGAGTAAAGCGTACCCTACAACACATACAGACGCGCCTAAAATAGCATGGAAAGTGCGCTCTTGAAATCGGTCTGATGAATGGGCGACACCTATCATCTATTTAGAAATAAAAGAATTGTAGCCAATCGATATTTACAACAAAAAGCTTCAGAAGGTATTCGTTTTATCACAAAAGAGAGGACATACCACAACGACAGCGGCTAGATAAGGTGGCGCTATAGATACGAATAGGGGGAATAAGTAGGCTTACTAGAATAATACGTGCTTTGTTTTACCGGACATCAAATTTGCAGATAACTTGTCGTCATAGCCCATGCCTTTGATGATCAAGGGGAGGAAACTGTTTGTAATAAAAGAGGTAGACAGCGACCGCTAAATGATTATTGTACTAGTACGTATATATGTCCGCAATATGAATGCGTAGTGAGAAAAAAACGTTCGCTTACTTTGATATGCTAGTGTTGGCTACACTTCCACTGAAGAACATGACCATCCAAATCCAAACTTTCCAGTCCGTGAATGCTTTAACTGCTTGCTTGCGATTCGATGCATCAAGATCACCGAGTGTAAAGTGCTGCTTCCGATGCTCCAAACGATTAATAGCTAGCACACGTTCTTCGGCAGATAAACGGCTCCAAGTCTCTGGAGAAGCTGGCAAATAAAACCTATACAACAGTGGATCATTTTAATTCGCCGTGTAGCCTTTTTTGATTCCTTTTACGGCGTTTTGTACAAAAGACGTTACGAGATTTGTTACCATGCAACCAGTGCCACAGCGACTGTTGGGATGCCTTCAATAATAAACAGCCACTAGGAACAGCCTTATCATTCACGTGTTGCCGCTTTGGTGTATACAAACTCACCGACACCACCCTATTGCATAAGCTTACCTGCCATCCAGTCATGCCATGTGCACCCCGAAGTCGTAATATTCCATAGGCCAAGACTCCCGCTATTGTAGATCGAAAGAGTCCTAACTGTTAATTCAGGGCAATTATAATCCGAATGTATGATTGATGGTGCGAGGGTCAGGTTACCATAAGAGTGCGCTACTACACTGGATCCCCAAAACAGTGCGATGCGGGTGGCCATTTCGTCCTTTTTATAAAACAGCGTAAGAAAGAAGAGGACGCCCTATGAAACCGTTACGTTTTAGCTCTCAAGATAATCTTTACCGAGAAACGGCAGCAGCAGCAACATCAGGCTTCCATTCTTTATACATAGCAGCCCCAGAAATCTGCTTACATACAGGAAAAAATCCACTTTCAAATACTCCGAGAAGAAAACGCAATACCAACAATTGGGCATAGCTACTTGCAGTAGCATGTAAGCAGGCTATTATTCCCCAAATCGTCATGAGCAAAGGGAGCCTAAATAGTGTTCCACCGGCAAAGCATGTAAGCGTTAGTCAAGTCCATCTCCTCTCCTTCAAATATTGTGTCGTAATATCATTGCTGGCTACTGTACCATCGACGCGCAGTTAAACGTTTCAAAAGAATATTACTAGGAACTTGAAAAATAAGGAATCCAGCCTAATGTTGTAGATATTACATTTGAGCGGGCTATCTAATCAAGACGTTCTGGCCTATCCAGTCAGTACTCTCGTTCCTACGTAAAAAACGGTAATACATGTGTTGAATTGATCTGGAGTGATCCCGACGTCTTCTTCAAAGTTATCAAGAACGGCGTTTCCTGTAAATTGGTGTTAACCGCACGGGCTTCTTTTCTTCACGCAGTTCTTCTTTATATCACCTCTTTAAAAGAAATATAGCAAAGGTAGCAAGCAAGCTTACCCAGTGTTGACCGGTCAAGCGACGAAAAAAGGTACATGAAGCTCAGAAACGGCAAGAGCAATAGATCGTATTTCAACACAAGTCGCCTTTCCATTTTTTTCCTGTTTTGTTGTTCGTCAATGTCATTGTCGTCATTGTTTGCTGTACCCATTGCATCAGATCCTAAAAAGTGGAACGGTCAATTGTAGTGGTCAATTGCAGGGCAGTGCAAATGCTCGTTGAGGGCGACAGAGTAGTATGTATGTACAGCAGGCCCAACAAAGAGGAAAGGAGGGTTAAATAAGAGCTCTGCTTTACCAGTAAGGGGCTGATAAGCTACGCTATTATGAGGAACACTGTCAGAAACAACCATCACGCATATACTGTCACGAAATATTAGAAAGGGCCAGAAAGAAACCAGCCAGGGTTTCCTGTGCTTTCAGTCATGCAGCTGGGTTTGTTCATAGCATCCGCATAAGTTTATGTCACGAGCACTTTAGTTTGTTTTATGCAACTGGTCGGATTCTTGGTGGAAAAACAGAGATGACTGTAAATGCAGTACTCGATGCCATCAATGAACGCCCTTGTGTAATTGCTTTGCTTGAAATTGAAAACAATGTACATTCAGCTTTTTTTATATCTAAAATAATATTTTTGTGGTGTTTCATATTGAAAGGAGTAGACACCGTCGTTTAAAACGGCTATGCATGCACTGAGTTCATCATGGGTGATCGAGGCGCTTCCTTTGAAATTTTTGCATATAAAAACACAAAGATATGTAGCCACAAATTTCTTTGTCGCGAGTTGTATGTGCACGCATTTCTCATTATTTACCATCGCTGGCACTTTTTCAGTTCCTAGGTATATAAGCAATGTCATAACGCCTCAACTATCTGAGCGATTGTATGTGTAAATAATAATCTAGAGCATCGTTTATATTGATGTGATGATGAATTCTTGAGATGAACATGACGCAGCCAGCATCGCACAGCATAGTGGTAGAAAAACAGAATGTGTGACTATCGCTACAGTTAGCATTGGCATAATACATATATCAGGAGTAATGATTGGAGTATAGTGCACTTACCGCCTCACGGAGGTATAGATCATGTCCTTGTCATAAAAGCTATTGTGGTCTTATTCTTATTACTGCGTCACTTAAACTGTGCTTGAAAAGAATGTTTATCTCAAATTTACTGTTGTACGCGATGGTTTCTTATGGGTACGTCATGGTGATTGACTTTGTGAATAATAATTTAAAATCACCTCAGGCACATATCTGGAGAGGTTCTAATGCTAAAATGAAAAAAACGTCGCGCCAAGTAAAAAACATCTTTCCGCCAATGGGATAATCACCCTAGCGCAAAACTGAAAAAAATCAAGCGCCAAATCGAAGGAAAAATCCTATAGATAAAATGCAAGAGTTTGGATAAGATGGTCACATGGCGTAAACAAAATCTTAAGGAATAACTGTACTACAAACAGCACATTAGACACAGAGCAGCGATAGCAGTATCGTACAGTTGAACCTTCAGAGCCCAAATCAAGCTGGTACGCCAAGAAAAGAACATTCCATGACTGGATATGTATTTTAATTTATTTCAGCTAATATTGCTGTCCGCGGCGAGCATTACAGTCAGCGAACCGCAAAAACCGCATATTTGGGACTGACATGTGACTGAGAAAAGTGAAGTCATATTTGCTTTCCCAGCAACCAATGAAAATTGAGGTGTATAGAGGCAAGCAATTCAGGTCTTGGCAACCAAAAAGCAAAGTACTTTTCTTTTTTTACTATCAGTGGCATCAAGGTTTTGAATGGATTGTGTATCAGTTGGCCTCGCCGGTCGCTTTGCGTCCCGTGGGATAACCCTGCTCTTGGGTACATAGTTCATTCTCTACCATTTTGCTGCGATGGACTGTGTATTAGATGGCCTCGCCGGTCGCTTTGCGTCCCGCGGGATAACCCTGCTCTTGGGTACACAGTTCAGCATCTTTACTTCGAACATTGATGTGCATCAGATGGCCTCGCCGGTCACTTTGTGTCCCGCGGGATAACCCTGCTCTTAGGTGCCTCAATTGCTCGTTGATTATTATTATTATTATCATTATTATTATTATCATTATTATTGTTAATTATCTTACTTCAACAAGGTGGTTTTTAAACGATACGGGTCTTCAGGTCAAAGTTAATCGATTTATCTTTTTTTTATATTTCAGTTCATTTTTTATAGATTGTTATTTGCTGGGGGTCAAGTTCTTTATTAACGAACAGCTAGATTTAAGAGCTTCGTGATGTAATAATAGAAATAGTGTATTGAATAGCGTTATTTCCAGGTAAAAAAAGTGAAGAGTGATTATGGGTTGTATATTAAGGTGATGTAGAATGACTTGTATCGTTGATTTGCTACTTGTTACTGATATAGATGATCAAGAAACTATGTCAGTCCAAGCGATATCCAACAAGTTTGGTAACCCTATGAGTCTAGCCAAAGCAAGAATGAACAATGTCAATGATTGATTGCTGGTCGTTCCTACAGCAATTGTTGGTGCTTCCGGTTCAGTCTCCATAGTAGTGGTTATTGGCTCTTTCAGCCGCGCTTTTATTTTTTTTCTGTCTATTTAATTCATTGCTGTTACAATTTTCAAGTTTTTTCTAAGCCGCGCACCGTGGTTCATGGATTCAAATCAAACAGTAAATGACGATCTCACCCAGCGAATTTAAGAGTTGGAAGCCTTGGTAGTCCAGCTTAAGAACAAACTCGAAATCAGAGACCGAGCTGATCGACAACAGCATGAAAGACCAGAACTACCCCAAGAGATTAAGCAAGATTTGGAAGCCTATTCGATCGCAGAACTGGAAAATAGTTTCAAGGTCTTCAGACACGAGATCTCACAAAATATGACGGAGACGCGTGGACAAGGTCCGGAGGCATCCATAAAATCTACGTTGGAGAATTCAAGAAGGCAACCTTGGAAGCCTATGGCGCTATATCCACAAAATACAAAAAAGCTGACAGAATGTAAAACGCTGCAAGCGGAGCAACCGAGATTTATGAAGACCTACAGTACATCATTGAAAGAGAAGACACGAGTATCGACCCTCAAGAACTCAAGACGACTATAGAAAAAGCTAGACGACTCGCCGTTTATGGAAACGCAACAGGCAAACAACAGGAGCGAGAAGCACAAACCAGTATTGCAAAGGCATTCAGGTTACCAGCAAGTATCCGAGCCTATGAAGACGAAGAATATGCTAACAAGGACATGGCATTCGATGCCGAGATGGTCCAACGAATCGAGAAGGCTCGACAAGAACAACAACTTATCAGAGCAGCTATCAACAATAGAGGAGGATACGGTCATGGAGGAGGTCGAGGCCGAGCTTGTTTCGACAGGGCCAGCGGATGGAATAGCACCAGGGGGCCGTTTACTGGTATTGGCAACAGAGAATCAAACATCCGTGGGCGGTTTCAGTAGTGAAGGAAGGATACCGATTGCCTTTCGATAGGGTACCACAACCGTGGCACAAGGGGCCTGTGTGCCGTTCTTTGGTGGAACAAACACAAGTGGACCAAGCAGTACAACAGTTTTTAGCAACCAAGGTGATCGAACGCTCACCCACTCAGGATAGGAGGTTTCTTTCTACATTTTTTATGATCCAAGAAGCTGCGAAAATTCGGCCGACACCCACTCCCCTTTTGTTTGTATGTTCCCCAGTCGCTTGTATATGATACAGCTATAGCATATATGTTTCACGTATTTTGGACTTTCGACCCAATAAAGAAAAAATGGTAACACAATCTGAATCAGTGCTTACGCCTCGAATAATAATAGTAAGCCGTCGGTCTTCGACCTCGCGCACGACAATTTTTTTGGCAATTGTCGTGTGCACCGTCTCATGCACAGTTTGAAAGACCCTGCGCACGACAGAACTATGATGATATATACCGAGTAACTTGAATGTTAGCATACCATGTATCCAAATGGCAAGCAAGCAACTTTGTGCCAACATAAGTGCTATAATATAGTGAAGCACAAGCGAGAAGATTTCTTAGTCAGCTCAAAAACACGTAGCTAAGACTATAGAAAAGTGGGTAGACGGTGCACCATATGTTTTCACCATTTTAATATCAATGACGTTGGTATTGGCTGCAAAGACATATCCTGTGTTTCGTGTTCTAAAACTTGCAAGAGCTAGGGCTGTCATGTAATTCTATTCAATTAAAATTTTGACGGTCAATGTAATATTCGACGTATATATAATGAAAGATGATAATATTGTGTCAGCCAAATAGTTGAATATTTCGAGGGCGAAGACCAAAACATGAAGTAAGAAATAAGGGATCATGAAAATAGGTGTTTAAATGATTGTAAAGAACAATTAAATCCGGAGACAAGGCCCAAGAGCTTGAACATGAGACAAAAAGAGCATAAATTTTCGAGTACGATGAGGTAAACGACATTTGACACAAAAAAGTGCAGAACTGCTTAAGGGGTTATGATTCATGTTGGTTTTTATACTCATTCATTACTGCTTTCGCTTTCATCCGAATCCATGGTGGGGTTGACGGCACTGCCGAATTTAGCACTCTTTCTCATGATATCCGATGCTTCGTCGTAAGAAACATTCTTATCTTCTTGAATAAGTCGTGCGGCCGTCTCCGGAATAAGAATCTGCTGGACAAACTGAACTGGTGGCATTGGGGCTGTATTTGCTGCTGTCAGGTGGTTCGATTTCGATAGTTCTTTCGTCAAACAATCCATGATGATTTGCATTCCACGGGGTCCATAATAACCAGGCTGTTTTAAACAATAATTTAGTGACTTATTTTATGAGTGATAGCTTTTGTACTTACCAAAGATTTTTCAGCCCTTGCCATTCGTGCGAATACGGATCGTGCAAAGCTTCGGCTATGTTGGCTGTAGAATTCGGTTTCTATCGATTTGAATCTGCTTTCGGTTTTGCCGACTACGATATCTTGCATAACTGGTACATGATTCATTACACGCAAAGACAAGGTCGCAAAATCGATATGACCTGGGTAACCTTGGGCGATCCCTTCTGGTCTGGTCAACATTTCTTTCCTATGAATGCTGCAGGTTTGGGTTTAATCTGTGCTTCATCGAAGCGGTGGTGACGAGACGTTGAGAGTTCTTTCATGCGGCGTTCTTCTTGTTTCTCATGCTTCTCTTCTTTTTGTATATATTCATCGTACTGCTTCTGTACAGCAGGAGGTAACGGTAATGGCAGGCGCGTTTGACAATGGGGACATGCTATTGCACCATGATCCAGATAGTATAACAAATGTGTTCAGAATTACTAGAATACAAAGATACAAAGCGGCATGTTATAGGTACCATGATGATCGCCTCCGATATCACTATTGCAGTCAGACTCATCCAAATCAGAATGGGCGACGCTTGTCTTCTTTTTTCTAGGCTACTTGCTGTTGATTCATGATCCACTGTTTTTTTGATATGCAGGTATGTAGCATCAATAACTACCACCTCTGGAAACATTCTTGCGCGCTCGATGCTTCGTGGGTGCGTGACAAAAATAGACTTGACTTTTTTTGTTGCATTTTCGGCATGGTAACGTGCAATGGAATTATATGACTTGAAATACTCCATGATAGTGGGCAGCTCATCATGTTGAGCATCATTGCTTTCCAGTCGAGATTTTAAGTTGTAGATATCTTTTGCAGTGAAACGGTTATTCAACCGCAACTGTAAAATCTGACGAGCGGTATCCTTGAGTCTAGTTCAGTGGCAATATCGACTTGTTCATGGCCTGTCATTGCCCGGTACGACGCGTATATCTTGTTATCTCGTGTAAGTTGATGATTATGTGGCGGTATGTCGGCTACCGCTGTCTGCACCTTCCCATTATAATTTGGCTTCTTGCAACAGCTGGCATATATTGACCACGAGCACTGCGTCTTGGTGGATCGTCGCTTAGGATACCTCTTTTCCACACCATTCGCGCAAGTGTATGTTCTTGGTATACACAATTCGGTATATCAGACCTGGTTCTTGTCTCTTCGGTACTATCTTCATATTCTTTCTCCTGTAACAGAATATAGCTCTAATTATTCTCATACTATATATTATATTTGGGTGTAAGAACCATACCTGACAACTATCTGCTGTCATCTTATCCACTTGTGCTGCTCGATGCGGTTTAAAGGTCGGATATAGAAAATTATGCTAATGATGCGATTGTATAAAGGATTCTCTGGCTTATACGCAACATGAAAAAGACGTGTTATCGAACAAGTGGGTTGTCAAGGATAAAGATGCAGCAATAACAAAAAGAGTATCAGCTCTTTTTGGTATCATTTCGCAATTTGCGATCAACGTCGTTATATCTGAATTGATTGCCGCTCGCCGTTTGACGCCGGAATCGTCGCAATGTAATAGCTGTGAAGTCTTTGTCAATTATCGTTTGCCGTGCAGACACTATTTTTACGAGTGTAATGACAAGAAATCTTGCATCCCGATATATTTGACAAAAGATGGAAATTAGTGTCAAGTACAAGTATGTAACTTATAATGTCGCAGCTAAAGTCAATATTCTGTTATGGAATTAACAGTTCATATGTCACATAGCAAGGGTATCTGAACAACCTGTCATCTAAGAACTTGGTACCGACACCAACGATGTTGAAGAAAATGCGTTGAAGCTAGACTATCAAGAGCTTAAAAATCGAATTGACAACTTATTTATCGATGCGCAGACGGGTCATTAAAAGCAAGACTTGATATCATGTATACATACGGCTTTAGATCAGTACAAACCATTACTCATCGAAGATCTAGAGTTGCCTACCGCTGTCAAAACCAAAGGACGGCCGAAGGGTGCTATTGGGTCGAGCCTACCGTCTTATTTTGAGATTATCTAACAAGATGCGAAAGAAAAAGAAAAATCAAAAGAAGAAAAAAAGCTGCTACTGAAATTAACGAATCCAACCCAACGGTCAGAAAAAGAAAACTTACTTGATTGAGAACGGTTCTGAAGAGCTTTGGCCAAACAAAAAGCGTAATACACAGGCTCTAGGGGATCAAAGGTATAGGCATATATTTGCATAGTAGTGGTTTCATATATATGAACTTACATCGTTTGCTGTGTAGCTCGACAATAGACATCCAGATATTCTACCATTGTAGTACATTACAGACTCGGTCGAGATAAAGCCGGACGAATGATGTGGGTTCAGAACTTTGTCGTATCTCGAATATAAAAGCAATCAAGATAAATACGCGGACATAAAAAAAGAATGCATGAATACGTGGTGACTAAGGGAAATAGCATTTGTTTGACTTACATCTGTGGTGGCAGCCAGACGGAATATGAAAAACTGGTCAAAAGGATGTCTTATGGTGTCGCCTTTAGTGATCCTGGGGCCGATTGTCCCAATGAGTATTGGTTTGACGGAAGCGTGGATATTCAGTTGGCAGCCAATGCGTTGGAGCGGCCGATTGCTTGCTATACGTCTGGTCCATGGGCGAAATATCATCCGCCATCGCTGACATTGCCACACTCTGTACATTCGGCAAACGATATAGTCTCCTGCCGTTCGTTATGCATTTCGTGAATGGGAACCACTGGGAACCGGTCTTGCTGCGATCATCTGTTAAAATGCAATGGCCCCCGATATCACAGCGCCATAAGCAGCATTGGAACGAGATCAACCCAGGTCACGATCACAAAACGTTTTGGAGGTACCTGCATATCAAAAAAACAGTGGATCATGAATCAACAGCAAGTAGCCTAGAAAAAAGAAGACAAGCGTCGCCCATTCTGATTTGGATGAGTCTGACTGCGATAGTGATATCGGAGGCGATCATCATGGTACCTAAAACCTAAATAACATGCCGCTTTGTATCTTTGTATTCTAGTAATTCTGAACACATTTGTTATACTATCTGTATCATGGTGCAATAGCATGTCCCCATTGTCAAACGCGCCTGCCATTACCGTTACCTCCTGCTGTACAGAAGCAGTACGATGAATATATACAAAAAGAAGAGAAGCATAAGAAACAAGAAGAACGCCGCATGAAAGAACTCTCAACGTCTCGTCACCACCGCTTCGATGAAGCACAGATTAAACCCAAACCTGCAGCATTCATAGGAAAGAAATGTTGACCAGACCAGAAGGGATCGCCCAAGGTTACCCAGGTCATATCGATTTTGCGACCTTGTCTTTGCGTGTAATGAATCATGTACCAGTTATGCGAGATATCGTAGTCGGCAAAACCGAAAGCAGATTCAAATCGATGGAAACCGAATTCTACAGCCAACATAGCCGAAGCGTTGCACGATCCGTATTCGCACGAATGGCAAGGGCTGAAAAAACTTTGGTAAGTACAAAAGCTATCACTCATAAAATAAGTCACTAAATTATTGTTTAAAACAGCCTGGTTATTATGGACCCCGTGGAATGCAAATCATCATGGATTGTTTGACGAAAGAACTATCGAAATCGAACCACCTGACAGCAGCAAATACAGCCCCGATGCCACCAGTTCAGTTTGTCCAGCAGATTCTTATTCCGGAGACGGCCGCACGACTTATTCAAGAAGATAAGAATGTTTCTTACGACGAAGCATCGGATATCATGAGAAAGAGTGCTAAATTCGGCAGTGCCGTCAACCCCACCATGGATTCGGATGAAAGCGAAAGCAGTGATGAATGAGTATAAAAACCAACACGAATCATAACCCCTTAAGCAGTTCTGCACTTTTTTGTGTCAAATGTCGTTTACCTCATCGTACTCGAAAATTTATGCTCTTTTTGTCTCATGTTCAAGCTCTTGTGCCTTGTCTCCAGATTTAATTATTCTTTACAATCATTTAAACACCTATTTTCATGATCCCTTATTTCTTACTTCATGTTTTGGTCTTCGCCCTCGAAATATTCAACTATTTGGCTGACACAATATTATCATCTTTCATTATATATACGTCGAATATTACATTGACCGTCAAAATTTTAATTGAATAGAATTACATGACAGCCCTAGCTTTTGCAAGTTTTAGAACACGAAACACAGGATATGTCTTTGCAGCCAATACCAACGTCATTGATATTAAAATGGTGAAAACATATGGTGCACTGTCTACCCACTTTTCTATAGTCTTAGCTACGTCTTTTTGTGCTGACTAATAAATCTTCTCGCTTGTGCTTCACTATATTATAGCACTTATGTTGGCACAAAGTTGCTTACTTGCCATTTGGATACATGGTATGCTAACATTCAAGTTACTCGGTATATATCATCATAGTTCTGTCGTGCGCAGGGTCTTTCAAACTGTGCATGAGACGGTGCACACGACAATTGCCAAAAAAATTGTCGTGCGCGAGGTCGAAGACCGACAGCTTACTATTATTATTCGAGGCGTAAGCACTGATTCAGATTGTGTTACCATTTTTTCTTTATTGGGTCGAAAGTCCAAAATACGTGAAACATATATGCTATAGCTGTATCATATACAAGCGACTGGGGAACATACAAACAAAAGGGGAGTGGGTGTCGGCCGAATTTTCGCAGCTTCTTGGATCGTAAAAAATGTAGAAAGAAACCTCCTGTCCTGAGTGGGTGAGCGTTCGATCACCTTGGTTGCCAAAAACTGTTGTACTGCTTGGTCCACTTGTGTTTGTTCCACCAAAGAACGGCACACAGGCCCCTTGTGCCACGGTTGTGGTACCCTATTGTGATAGTTACGGGTGAAACCAACTGATGTTTATTGATAGGTACTGCTATGATGATATGTATATAGAATTAGGGGAGATATTGCTAAGGGGGGGGTACTACTGATTGGGGGATAGTTGGGGATGGGGGGAGCTACGACTACTACATTACTCCTCCTCCATTAAGCTGAGACGTCCCATGATATGGGTATAGTTGTCCTTGATTTGCGGTTGTTGGCTTTTGGTTTTTCTTCGTTGCATGTTTCAATGTTAAACTGGTTCTTTCGGCGTTGTTGTACTTTGTAATGATCCATGGGCCTGAGAACTTTGGTGTTGGGAATTTCCAGGTGTCCTTTGGTCGTAATCTTAAAACCATTTCACCAACTTTAAAAGGTGGGCGTTGCAATCGGTTCTGGTCGTAGTATCTCTTTTGCCGCAATTGCGCCTTTTGTATATTGGCTTTGATTTGTCCTTGCAACACCGGTAGATAATGGTTCAAGTAAGCAATCCAAGTTTCTGCATTGTGTGACTTCATTGCCGGTGGTTGAATGTTTGCTACTGATGGCAGGATTGGCTTTCTTCCGAACATTGCTTCGAACGGTGAGACTTGTGTTGATGCTTGCTTGCTTGTGTTGATAGCAAAAGTAATGAACGGCAAGTATTGATCCCATTGATCTGGCTTATTTTCTACATAGACGGCTAAAGCTGTTTTGATCGTTTTGTTTGCTCGTTCAACCAATCCGTCGCTTTGTGGCCATTCTACGCTCGTATTCGCTTTTGATATTCCCAGCCGTAAGTATACTATTTGCATTGCCTCGGAGACAAAGTTACTGCCATTGTCTGTGATTAGCTTAACTGGCACACCGAATTTCAGTACTAGGTCGAACAAGAGTACTTGAGCTATTGTATATGAGTCAAAACCGGGTAATGCTGCAGTAATGGTCCATTTCGTTAGATACTCCATGATGACCAATAGGTATCTGTTTCCGCTTGCTGATGTTGGTAATACTGCGATATCGGCTGCCCAAATATCGCCGGCGTTGCCAACTGGTATGCTGTGGAGCTGTCCATATTTTCTTATTGGTTGCTTATGTCGTTGACAGTCGGTGCACTCTTTTGTTGCGTGGATTACATCGTTGTGCATTGTTGGCCACCAAGCGTTCTCTTTTGCGCGTGCTAGGGTTCTGTCTCGGCCAAAATGTCCTGGTGTCGGGTGGCTATGAATGGCTTGAAAAAATGCTTGTCTAAGCGAGCGTGGCATTACTGCAACTGGTTTGGCGTGATTGTAAAAGACGATGCCGTTTGCTGTAAAGAATCGAGTATCTCGTGACTGTATATAATGCTGAATTTCGTCGTCTTTTTCCTGCTCTTCTTTAAGTGTACTAGCAGTAATGGTGCTTTGCTTCTTTGTCGGAATTGATTCGTTTGTTGATGCTGTTGTGTTGCTGATGATGTTGCATGCTCTGCTTAATGCATCGGCGTCTGCGTTGTCAATTCCTCGTCTGTATACAATCGTAAAATTGTAATGCTGTGTCGCCATAATCCAACGTGCAATTCGCCCTTTTGGTGCTTGAGATGATAAGATAGCCTTCACCGCTGCATGATCTGTGTAGACCGTAAGTTGTGCGCCATGTGTATAGCAATGAAAGTATTGTAAGGACCAAGTTACACACATTGCCTCACGCTCTGTTACACTATAATTCCTTTCTGCTGGTGTCAACGTTTTGCTGGCATAGGCAACGGGTCTTGAGTTTTGACAGAGGACACTTCCAATTGCTACATCTGATGCGTCACAATGTAGGTCATACGGCAAGTTAGGGTCGGGATATGCCAGTGTTGGAAGTTCAATGAGTCGTTTCTTGAGAGCTTGAAAAGCTTCTTCTTCTGTTGTGCCCCACTGCCATTCCTCGCTTTTCCGCAACAATTTGTATAGGGGTGCTGCTAAGTGCGCTAGATTGGCGAAAAACCGGTGATAGAAATTGCACATTCCCAGTAATCGCTGTAGACTTTTCGTATTGACTGGTCTTGGATATTGCACTATCGCTTCAACATGCTTTGGGTCTGGATGTACACCTCCATTGGTCACGATGAATCCAAGATACTTGACTTCGGATACCATGAACTTGCATTTGTGAATACTGAGCTTGAGATTGAACTTGTGTAAAATCCTGAGCACCTCCTCGACGTGCTTGAAATGTGTTGCCATATCGGACGAGAAGATCAGAATGTCATCGATATAAATCGTGACGTAGTCGAGATGACCGAGGATTTGTTGTCCAAAACGAGCAAAAGTACTGGGACCATTGGTTACCCCATATGGTAATACGACAAACTCCCAAAGATTGTGATCTGTGGCAAATGCTGTTTTTGGTATGTCTTTTTCATGCATTGGAATTTGCCAATAGCCTGATTTGAGGTCGCAGAGGGAGAAAACTTTTGCTGGAAGCAATCGATCGAGTAGATCTTCAATTCGGCACAGTGGAAACTTGTCTTGTTTTGTTACTGCATTCAGTGGTTTGTAATTGATCGCGACTTTTGTTGAACCATCAGATTTCGTAATTAACAGTGGTGCTGATCGCCATGGGCTGTTGCTTGGCCTGATTACACCGCGTTTAAGCATTTCTTGAATTTGCAAATCCAGGGCGGCCTTTTCTTTTGGTGATCTTCTTGGTAAACGGCACTGCACAGGTCTGGCATCGCCAGTATCGATTTGATGACAAACTGGCGCGTTTGTGATAGTCTGCAAAGGCGTGTCATCATACAGACTTGGCATTTCTTGCAGGAGCTTCCGCACTTCTATTGGAACATCAGCTGGAATTTGCATAGGATTAGCAATTGCATTGATTTGCGCTTTCAACTGCAATTTAGATAAAACTCGCTTATTATCCACGTCAAGCAGGAGAGATTTTCCTAGCATCCAATCCATGCCGATTATTACTGGTGTATTTTGATGCTTGACAACTCGAAGAGTTATTGGCCATGCTGTGTGTTCGATCTGAATTGTTGTGTTGTAAGCTTGATGTGAGATTTCTTCTGACGAGTTTCCATATTGAAGTCGCATTGGATCTGCTGGTAGCCTGGACAAGTTTGCGGCTTGCACTGTTGCTTCATCCAAAGATGTTATTTCTGCGCCAGAATCGATTAACACTTTGATGCGCAAGCCACTGATGGTTGCCCAAACGGCAAATCTTGTTGGAGACTCATCGTCATAGCTGCTTGCCTGTGATGATTGTTTTACCGGAAGCTGTTTCACTGATTTCTGATGGTTGATGTTTTTTGTAATAAGGTCGAACAAATTGGCTTCGTAGTTGCTGTTTAAATCCGTCGTCGTCGTCGTCGATGATGCTAGTGCTGCTGTTGCTGAGTTGCTATTGTTGCCGGTGCTATCAGCCATTACTTGTGTCGACACTTTCTTTCGTTTTGCGATATAGCAATCCTTGATAAAATGATTTGTTCGGCCGCATTCCCAACAGCCTTCATTTTTAGTGGGTTGTTTCTTTGGTTTTCCCGGTCGCTTGCTACGTCCTTTTTTCCATGGCTTTTTGTGACGTTGGAAATTTGTTGCTTGAACGTCTTCCATGGGCGTTGCATCCTGACTTGACTCAACAGGCACTGTTGGTTGTGGTGTAACTGGTACAGTGGAAGCATTTTTCAGGAGATCGTTCGTGTTACGCTTTAAGAAAGACAGCTGGTTGGACGCATTTTTGTCATAGTGCTCCAATTTGATCGCATATCCGATGGCGTCATTCAATGATGAAGGGCTGCGGCGAGAAACTTCTTTGGCGATTTGAGGACGCACGTGTTTGGCGAAAAAGAAAAGTTTCAATGCTTCAGTCATTGAAGGGTCAATTTTGGCCAATGTCACTTTTAGCCTGGCACCGAATGATAACATGCTTTCATTGCCTTGATACATGTTGGATAGCTCGGTCAGTGCAGCTGCTGCGGTATCGTCACCGCCGCCAAAATATGCTTTGAAAGCCTGCTTTGCTGCTGCATAGCTAGACTGCGTTGATTCATCAAGTGCATCCCACCAGTGGATGGCATGTTCTGAGAGAGATACCATCAATTCCTCAGCTGCTTCAGCATCGTCCCAGTGGTAGTATTTTTTGACCTTTTCAAATGCTAGCAACCAAGCATGCGGATCCTCGTTGCCTGATCCCCGGAAGGAAGGAACCACTAGTCTCCTTTTTCCTTTTTTCGTTTGGTCGTTTTGTCTCGCCATTGGCATGAGTGGGCCAAACTGGCTTTCACTTGGTGCTGCAGGTGGTAATGACATCGACTCTGGCTCGTCATCATCATCTAGTGACATACGTCTTTGTCTAGTGTTCCACCAACGGCTGATTGTTTCTCTTGTTGTCTGGGCAGCGCTCGGCGTCGCATTGCTATCGTGTGTTGGTATCATCTGAGGAGCTGGTGCAGTTGGAATAGGAGCTGGCATCGCTGTCTCCTTATTCTGCCCGATTGCAGTAACCAACCCATTTAGGGCGGCTATTAGCTGCTGTTGTTGCGGCTCGGCGAGATTAGTGTGTGATTGTTGAGCTGATGGTCGCAGAGAACGCTCAATAGCTTGAAGAAGGTCCTTCATTGTTTCATCTCGGGCTTGATCTCTGCTACTCAGGTTTTCTAGCACACTTTGGAGATCTGGTGCTGTCGATGATGCTCCGGCCGTCGGCTGTTGTTGCAATGACTCGTACATTTTGTACATGTTGGTCTGCATTTCATAAGCTCTTTGACATGCTGTTGATCTTGAGTATCGAATCGTTGTTGCCAGTCTCGCTCACGTTGCTGTGTTCTTTCTTCGAATTCTGCCTGCTGCTGCCAAAGCTGTTGCTGAAGCTGCTGCTGTAATATGTTGACCAATTCATTGCTGTCGTTGTACTGTTGGTGCTGATGTTGCTGTTGCTGGTACTCGATCTGATGTTGCTGAATCTGGTGTTGCTGGATCTGGTGGAACTGTTGCTGCTGCTGATCGTCGAGTTGGTTTTGTGTTGTTCCAAACACACTGTCATTAGACCACCCTATACCGTTTGTTTGCATCGCATGCTGCTGGTGCAAAAGTGCTTGATACTCTAGCATCGCTTGTTGCTCTCGCAATTCATCGGAGCTCATTTGCTCGGACGCCCAAGGATTGTTAAATATCGAAGCTGATTGTTGATTGTGATCTATGGTGCTTTTTCTTCTCCACCAATGTGATAGTTACGGGTGAAACCAACTGATGTTTATTGATAGGTACTGCTATGATGATATGTATATAGAATTAGGGGGAGATATTGCTAAGGGGGGGGTACTACTGATTGGGGGGATAGTTGGGGATGGGGGGAGCTACGACTACTACACCTATCGAAAGGCAATCGGTATCCTTCCTTCACTACTGAAACCGCCCACGGATGTTTGATTCTCTGTTGCCAATACCAGTAAACGGCCCCCTGGTGCTATTCCATCCACTGGCCCTGTCGAAACAAGCTCGGCCTCGACCTCCTCCATGACCGTATCCTCCTCTATTGTTGATAGCTGCTCTGATAAGTTGTTGTTCTTGTCGAGCCTTCTCGATTCGTTGGACCATCTCGGCATCGAATGCCATGTCCTTGTTAGCGTATTCTTCGTCTTCATAGGCTCGGATACTTGCTGGTAACCTGAATGCCTTTGCAATACTGGTTCGTGCTTCTCGCTCCTGTTGTTTGCCTGTTGCGTTTCCATAAACGGCGAGTCGTCTAGCTTTTTCCATAGTCGTCTTGAGTTCTTGAGGGTCGATACTCGTGTCTTCTCTTTCAATGATGTACTGTAGGTCTTCATAAATCTCGGTTGCTCCGCTTGCAGCGTTTTACATTCTATCAGCTTTTTTGTATTTTGTGGATATAGCGCCATAGGCTTCCAAGGTTGCCTTCTTGAATTCTCCAACGTAGATTTTATGGATGCCTCCGGACCTTGTCCACGCGTCTCCGTCATATTTTGTGAGATCTCGTATCTGAAGACCTTAAAACTATTTTCCAGTTCTGCGATCGAATAGGCTTCCAAATCTTGCTTAATCTCTTGGGGTAGTTCTGGTCTTTCATGCTGTTGTCGATCAGCTCGGTCTCTGATTTCGAGTTTGTTCTTAAGCTGGACTGCCAAGACTTCCAACTCTTAAATTCGCTGGGTGAGATCGTCATTTACTGTTTGATTTGAATCCATGAACCACGGTGCGCGGCTTAGAAAAAACTTGAAAATTATAACAGCAATGAATTAAATAGACGAAAAAAAAATAAAAGTGCAGCTGAAAGAGCCAATAACCACTACTATGGAGACTGAACCGGAAGCACCAACAATTGCTGTAGGAACGACCAGCAATCAATCATTGACATTGTTCATTCTTGCTTTGGCTAGACTCATAGGGTTACCAAACTTGTTGGATATCGCTTGGACTGACATAGTTTCTTGATCATCTATATCAGTAACAAGTAGCAAATTAACAACACAAGTCATTCTACATCACCTTAATATACAACCCATAATCACTCTTCACTTTTTTTTACCTGGAAATAACGCTATTCAATACACTATTTACACTATTTCTTTTATTAGATCACGAAGCTCTTAAATCTAGCTGTTTGTTAATAAAGAACTTGACCCCCGGCAAATAACAAACCATAAAAAATGAACTGAAATATTAAAAAAAGATAAATCGATTAACTTTGACCTGAAGACCCGTATCGTTTAAAAACCACCTTGTGGAAGTAAGATAATTAACAATAATAATGATAATAATAATAATAATAATAAAAATCAACGAGCAATTGAGGCACCCAAGAGCAGGGTTATCCCGCGGGACACAAAGCAACCGGCGAGGCCATCTGATGCACATCAATGTTCGAAGTAAAGATGCTGAACTGTGTACCTAAGAGCAGGGTTATCCCGTGGGATGCAAAGTGACCGGCGAGGCCATCTGATACACAGTCCATCGCAGCAAAATGGTAGAGAATGAACTATGTACCCAAGAGCAGGGTTATCCCACGGGACGCAAAACGACTGGTGAGGCCATCTGATACACAATCCATTCAAAACCTTGATGCCACTGATAGTAAAAAAAGAACAAAGTGGAAAAAGTACTTTGCTTTTTGGTTGCCAAGACCTAAATTGCTTGCCTCTATACACCTCAATTTTCATTGGTTGCTAGGAAAGCAAATATGACTTCACTTTTCTGAGTCACATGTCAGGCCTAAATATGTCCTTCATTTTGGCATTAGAAATTTTTATGATTTCGCAAGAGGGGTGATTGTAGGAGAAAATTTATATGAAAAGAATATTGGTATATACAATAGAAGACGACAAATGTAAATCAAATTATTGAGACACCTTGATTCGCTTTGATGGTGATGACGAAGATGACGATGATGGTGATGGTACAATAAAGTTTGGGGGAAGACACCAGTGAGTACCATTTTTTGACGATGTTATTCCTTGAGAAACATCATCCAACAAATCAGTGGTTCTATCTAAAATCTTTTTTCCATTGTATGCCAGGGTCATCAAGGGGAGTAATCGAGAAACCAAATTTGAGTCCCTATGTGGGAATCTCAATGGTTCTGTTTTCCTAACTCTAGTTATAAACCCAGCAGGAATGTTGACATCTAGAAGTGATGTGGTGCCACCTAAATGAATACATCAAAATATTCCCAAGTTAGTGGATGGCTCGTATATAGGCTGACATCTTTATCCATGAAATTGATACAAAAATCATACATACCTGTAATACTATAACCAATAACATGAGCTGTATGAAGAAGGCTCGAATCATAAGTAACCGAAAGCAACATGTCCCTCAAAACTAGCGGCATCTTCATTGAACAGTCACAGAATGCTTTAGTTTGGTCTCGCGTAGCACCTACTTCAGAACATCCAAGTTCTTCTGACCCATACTTGAACATCGTGTCTCCACGACGACCCATTTTTCGATTTGATATTGCTGTGACTGATGACAGTTGGCGAGATGAGTTTACCGCATTCGCATTTGCTTCACTAGAGACTTCGGTACTGTAGAATGAAAAATAAATATTAAGTTAGATCAATTTTAAATTCCATTTTGCTCCATTATCATAAACCCATTTATCTAATACTTTTACCCTTTTGCTACAATACCAGATCCATGAAATGCAGTACCAAAGAAACCAAATGGCAAATACTGTTGATCTGTTTCAGGTATACTCAGAATATCAAAAGAATGTGTTTTTAAGAAGAGGCGCGCAACATTCATCAACTCGGATGAAAACCAAACTTTCAAATGTTCAGCTGATGGATCATTGATTTCGATACTTCGTGCATATTTAAACACTTCAGCGCTTGTTTTCTATAAAGAAATCATTTAGTACTGTTGTTAGCTTTGTGTTGCTCTTGTTTATATAACTTTTATCATTCTTATTTTATTTTATTGTTATATATACATACCAGCCCTTTCAAGTCCAAATAATATCGTTGAAGTTCTTCGGGATCATTGCATTCAAGTGGCCCCCCTTTGGTTTCTATCTCGTGTAACTCTGCCTCTGTGAAAACTTTCTTCCAGTTTTGATCAGTAACATCCAAGATAAGCGATTGAGAGGGACTAGAACAAAAAGAAATTCAGCAAGATATTTATTAACTGATAATGGATGATTGTCTAACTCAAATTAAAGATGATGATTATTACTTACTGATAATAATGGCAGGTCAACGCAAAGTTCATTACTTTTTCTTCAACTGAAACTGGATCGGTTTCATCTTCCGTTGCTTGTGCTATTGTTGATTCCAAATACCAAAAATCTTCTTTATGTTCTTCTGTAAACTTCTTAAAACGTTCATATAACACCTCCTTTTGTTGTTCTGTGATTCTTGTTTTAAGGCTAGGTAAAGAAGATGGCGATGAATACGATGGTATATCTTGTAATGACACTTCATCAGTAGGTATAGAAGCTGTAGTGGTTGTAATTACTAAACGACGATCCACGGCTTTCCAAGATGCTCGGCCAAACTTTTAATACAAATAAGATTGATGAAATTAGTTCCCTTTTATAAATATCAGAGCTTTAAAACGAAGTGGTGATGCTTACCAAATCAATATTGTTTGCTGCTGCAATTTTCTTTACGCGTTTGATAAAAAAGCCTTTTGCTCCTCATATATTATCTTCTGCTTTAAGACTAGCGACAAGATAATCTTTGAAATGATCTAAGATTATAACTAATTCAATTTGTTCTAATTTATCTTTTTTTTCAAGTATGACATCCAAGATATCTATTATTTGATACAGAGGGTTGTTAATATATATGTATAGGACACTGTTCATGATTATTATAAAAATTACATAATCTATAAATTTTAAATAATCTATAAAAAATTATTATAAATATTATAATTTAATTTTTATCTTCTGGAATAACAACTGCTACAACTTTTTTTAATTTTTTATGTTTTAGTTGTACTTCTTCTATTATAGTATCCTCTTCATTATCACTAATTTCTACTTCATTATTTTCATTTATATTTGAACTTAAATTTAATTTAAAATTTCTTTTTGTGATAATAACATTTGATTAAAATTTTTATCTATAGTTATTTTATCTGTAACTACTATATCTATTTTACAATCAATTGTAGGAAACTCAAAATTATCTGTATACCACAATTTATGATGTGGTTGTGATGGAATTTTATATTTATCTACCATTTTCCAAATATTCTTTAATAAACAAGCTAATTTAAATTGGAAATTATAATATTTAATATCTGTTATTTGCATTGCTGATATATTATTATTAAATCGATTAAATTTTGATGCTAATACAGAAAATTGATCTTCAATTTCAGAACGAAAACTACCAAATCTTTTATTATATTGTAATTCTATTGCTGTTAAATTCTTATTATTTTCTTTTCTTATAGGATAAACAAAATTTTTATCTGAAAAATCTTTTCCTTTATTTAGACTTTCTTCTTTAAATTTATTAATATATAAAAATTAACCACCATCCATTGCTAAACAATCTCCTATATGCATCTTATTATATAATTTCATTTCAAAAAACATTGTTCCATCACTGCCTTTACCACATTTATCACTTTTAGATATATATATAATCATTTGGTTACTATCAACAACTATTTGGGTTCTTAATCCAGGACCATCTAATTTATATGATTTTATATCTTTTGTTTTTGTATCAGGATCATAATATTTTATTTTGCCATCATGACCCTCAATATATAATGTCACATTTTTAAATGATAATGGATTATTTAATAAAGATGATATAATTCTAATTTTTATATTTGAAAACATTTTATTTAAATCTGTATCAATTTTTTTTATTAATCTTCTATAATTAGAATGCCAAAATTTTTTATATAGTGAATAATATGTAGTATATGACATAAATTCATACATATCCCTACCTGATTTACCACTTACCATATGATATAAGATTAATAAACCTTTATCAATTTCCTTATATGGACCAGGGTATTCAGAAGTACTATAAATACAGTTTAAAAAATAAAAAACAGGAATATATCCTAATTGATTTAATAAAACATCCTTTACTATTTTAATATTATTATTTTTTATATCTTTGATTTCTGTACGATGGTTATATTTGTTATTTAAGATATTCCAATTTTCATCTAAAAATGTCCATTGTTCTGCAATTAATTTATTTATTTATTTCATTATTTAAAATATCATTTAAATTATTATCATTATCCATATTTTATTTTTTTATTATATAATAATTCAATTTTATTTTAATTAAAAATCTTATTTTTTATAGGAATAATATTATCAGTATCTTAGTAAACAGTCTGCTATAGAAACAATTAATTTTTTTCAATTGTATTATTGCTAGTGACTACCTTTGTCTGAAGGTTTCTTCTCTAGCGCTGCAGTAGTGGTTTAAGGGCCTGTAGATGTGCCTTCAGTTTCCATAGTAGCAGGTTGGGAGTCTTGAGTTTCCATGGTAATGAGACAAACAAGTACAGGATTTTTCATCTCCTAGTAGACGTTTGAACTTTTATTTAGGCAGAAGGGATTTAATTTTAGGCAGAGTAGACATGAATGTTAATCTGAGTGGACATGAATAAAAGTTAATCTGGACATGAATAATAATTGATCTGGACATAAATGAAAATCGAGCTGGATATGAATGAAAATCGAGCTGGACATGAATGAAAATCGATCTAGACATAAATGAAAATCGAGCTGGATATGAATATAAATTGACCTGGGCATGAATGAAAATCGATCTAGACATGAATGAAAATCGAGCCGGACATGAATATAAATTGACCTAGACATGAATAAAGATCGATCTGGACATGAATATAAAACGATCTAGACATGAATATAAATCGATCTGGATATAAGTGAAATCAATCTGGACAAAATAAAAATCAATCTGTATATGAATGAAAATTGTTCTGGACAAGAATAATAATCAATCTAAACATGAATAATAGACAACCTGAACATAATAACAGTCAAACTAGATATTGTTTTAGTCAACTAAGGACACTGTTCATGAGGCACTTGTAGACAAGTGTTTGGAATAACTACCGTTATTCTAGGTTTATGACTACCGTCATAAAGACCAGCTACACCTTCAAAAAAATCAAAGATTTTTTCTCGGACCACCCCTTTTCATAATGATCATTATTTTTTATTTAAAAATAAAATTTAAAAATTAAATTATATTTTAAAAATAAAAATTATTATAATCAATAAATTATTAAACAATCTTCTTTATGGCTCATTCCATTCGCCACCATATATAAAGTTACCCTCCGGGTTAAAAGCCTCCAGTGGGGGGCTAACTTTATATATTTTTCTAATATAATAATAATAATTTTAAGTTTCACTTAAATTATTTTATTATAAGAAAAAGGAACTTAAGTTCCTTAAGGTTGAAAAATGTATCAAATTTTGTTCCAAAATTCTCAACAAGGACACTGTTCATGAGGCACTTGTAGACAAGTGTTTGGAATAACTACCGTTATTCTAGGTTTATGACTACCGTCATAAAGACCAGCTATACCTTCAAAAAAATCAAAGATTTTTTCTCAGACCACCCCTTTTCATAATGATCATTATTTTTTATTTAAAAATAAAATTTAAAAATTAAATTATATTTTAAAAATAAAAATTATTATAATCAATAAATTATTAAACAATCTTCTAAGACATAATAAAAGTTGAAGTAGATAATATATTAAGTGTAGCAGAGCAGAATATTTGAGTACTTAAGATTTTCAATTCAAGTCAAGGCATAATAGAAGTCAAGCAGTACAAAGCCAATGTCAAGATATAGTAGTATGGCTGGTTCACTCGTGACAAAAAGCTTGTAGGCTAATGTACAGGAAATGGCAAGGGTGCGTCAGAGACTCACTACTGTGTGCATAAGCCTATTTTGCTGCTGTGGGGATAGGGCCTGAGCGTTTCCCCTCCATTCATTTTACCCAGGTTGAGTTTAACACAAACTGGAGGCTGGTAGCTGAGGTAGGTGGAAAGTGTGGGGTTTGTTAGCAGCAGTAGGGAGGAAAAAAACAACAACCAAAGATCCTTTTTTTTTCTCATTACCATTTGCCACAGCAAATCAACAGCTTCGACGCACACTTGTAAATGGCTCCTACTCTCTTCACGATGAATAAAAACAAAGAAAACAAAACGGCACAATCCACGGATTTATTGAAAAACGAAATGAAGGTAACTGTTTTCTTAAAAAAAGCATGTGCTCAAGATTTATAAAGGAGTAGACCGCCGTTACTGCTGCTTAAAGAAACGCTGGATAAGTGAACAAGGGAAGGAAAAGGTTACTGGTTGTGCTTGGGGTATAGCTTTAGTAGACATACGCTCATTCAGAATTACTGTTTTTTTTTCTTCTCTGTATATACTTGATGCACCATCTTGCACCATTCCAACGCCAGACTTGCGTGCGTAATACAACATCGTCCTCTACCTGCACAAACCATTCGTACTCACAACAAGAACGACGCAACAATCTTCTTCTCCATTACTCATACACA